GATAAAGAATTTAACATTAAGATAAAGAATTTAACATGAAGATATAGAATTTATCATTAAGATGAAGAATTTAACATTACGATAAAGAATTTAACAGTAAGATAAAGAATTTAACATCAAGATAAAAGATTTAACAGTAAGATAAAGAATTTAACATTAAGATAAAGAATTTAACAGGAAGATATAGAATTTAACATTAAGATGAAGAATTTAACATGAAGATATAGAATTTATCATTTAGATGAAGAATTTAACATTACGATAAAGAATTTAACAGTAAGATAAAGAATTTAACATTAAGATAAAGAGTTTAACATTAAGATATAGAATTTAACATCACGATAAAGAATTTAACATTAAGATATAGAATTTAACATTAAGATAAAGAATGCTAACTATTTACTAAAGTACATTTCCACACTATTGTGATAAATCTTAATTAGAAAAGACTGCATTGCGGGAAATAAAACAAATCCGATATTTTTTTATTATTATAACAGGAAATGTGAATCAGCTGTTTATCTGATCAAGGATGACGGAAGGTTTTCGTATTTTATTCACTAAATTGCGTGTAATTGTAAACAACTTTGAATGCTGGTTAAAAATTTTTTACTTCAGTTTTAAATAAATGTAAAGTTTATTTTCTATATAATAAAACAAGACATTCGTATATACATACATACATATATATATATATAAATATGTTTCCTAAAGCCGCCTAAACGGCAGGACCGAATCGGCTGAACTTTTTTGAAAATTTTTTTCTCAAACGTTTTTTGTTTCAACTTTTTTTCCACGAGCAACACCGGGCCTTTAGCTAGTAGATTTTAAAATTTTCCTTAAGAAATCTAAGAAATACACCATCATAAAGCTCATTCTGGTAGTTACACTAACCGTGTAAACAACTTCAACTACAAATCTCATATTTCAAAGTAAAATTAAAATTGTAAAGATACTTGCTAAAAATGACTTGTTGATTTAATATTAAAAGGGTACATTTTTAACACATTTCATTGGGTTTACATAATTTGTTATTCATATGTTTAAAAATATACATTCGAGTTTGTTTGAAAATAATATTTTATTTTTACATAAAAGTCATTTCCAACAATTACAGAATTAGAAGGATTAAAAGAAAATTTATTAATAAATATAAATCTAAATTGTAAAGGAAGAAAATTTATTGGCTTAATTAAACAACATAATTCTTAATAGAAACACATTTGTTCAATCCCTTCGCGACATGTTTAAATTGTGGTGTCCTCAGACATCGGAATTCGATGAATTCTCTGTACAAACAGTTCAACAGTATAACAGTACAACAGTACAGCAGTACAACAGTACAACAGTACAACAGTACGACAGTACAACAGTACAAAAGTGCAACAATGCAACAGTACAACAGTACAACGGTACAACAGTACAACAGTGCAACAGTATAACAGTACAACAGTACAACAGTACAACAGAACAGCATTACAGCATTACAACAGTACAACAGTACAACAGTACAACAGTACAACAGTGCAACAGAACAACAGTACAACAGTACAACAGTACAACAGTACAACATTACAATAGTACAACAGAGCAACAGTACAACAATACAACAGTGCAACAGTACAACAGTAAAACAGTACAACAGTACAACAGTGCAACAGTGCAACAGTACAACAGTACAACAGTGCAACAGTACAACAGTACAACAGTACAACAGTACAACAGTACAACAGTACAACAGTATAACAGTACAACAGTGCAACAGTACAACAGTACAATATTACAACAGTACACCAGATCAACAGTACAACAGTACAACAGTACAAATATTCTGTTTATGTTTTCTATGTCTGCAACTTCCAGATAAATAGAAAATATTTTCCAGGTTCTAAGCAAAGAGAAATTTAATTTAGTTTTTTTAGAAAAACAATTTAGAACTTGTAAGAGCTGGGTTAATTATTTTATGATTCGTGGAAAAAGAGATTGTTCAAAATGGTATATCATGCAGATTACAGAGTAAAGGGTTTTTAAACATACACAAAACGCTTTGATTATTTTGAAATAATTAGTATGGTTTATAGGTTTAGTTGTATTACTAATTCCTAAGTTTTAAAGGTTTATATTAATGATTTAAGAACAGTAAAAAGTGTTTTTAAATGTTTGTTTTCTATAAATTGTGCATCCAAATTATACTTGCAATAGTTTTATTAGAAACAGCATTTAACCGCTTTGATCAATTTAATATTAATTATTAGGATCATAAGATTAAATCATTATATAATTATGTAATGATAAGATTATGTGATCATATTTATAATTATATAATTGATGGTATCATATTATAGTTATGCTTTTATAATACTGTAACCTTATATGCAAACCAATATATGAGCATACAGCTAAGTAAATAAAAAAGAGCAAAACACTACATTTGCAAATATGGGGGGGGGGGGGCGGTAGATTAAACCAGATTTATTAATATAGAAAAGTAGCTGAACCGCGCATATAAAGTTCAATTACTTCTGTTGTCCGCCGGTTCAAGCTTAACGAGTCTCGCTAATTATTAAATCTACAGTCACTTGTTTAAAAGTCAGCGAGTCTTTACTGGCAAACCAATCAGTGAGCCTTTAATTGCGAACCATTTTTCATACAATAAATGTCCAATATTTCCAATATTTTTCCTATTACTTTAGCTTTAGATCGCGACCGATGAAAGCTATATCTGATCATCTGATGTTCCTGTCTCGAGAAATTGATATAAACTGTGTCAAATTTATATGAAAATCCATATATATACAATTTTGTATACAAATAGTAGGTTTGAACAGATCATATTCAGCATATACGCAACCAATTTAAAAACGAAAATATCCCAGAGAAACATAATTGTAACTTAGGTTTTCTTTTCTTCAATTATTATTTTATAATTTTTATTTTTATTTTTAATAGATATAATTGATTATATTATTTATAAGTCCGTATGACGTCATCAGAACTCTCACCTATGGTAGTGCAGTATACTGGTCACGTGATACAGACAGAGACATGTGACCAGTATACTGCACTCTCATTGGTGGGAGTTCTGCTGCATATATATGAATTTTCATATAAAGATACAGTTATATAACAATTTCTCGAGACAGGAACATCAGATATAACTTTTATGGGGCGTGATCAAGAGCTAAAGTGATACGCTTTCAACATTACCATCATAGTTTTCATCTTGGAAAGGATTAACATTTTTGAGTCACGTTCGTTGTCTGTTTAGCATAAAATCTTCAAATCGTTTTTTTAGAGAAACATAATCAGAGGTTTTATAGATATTTTGTTGTAAACATAAGGATTTAAAAGTGTCTGTTTTGAATGAAAAATGCCAAGCACTACACACACACCCATGGGAGAATTACTTTTTATTACGTTCACAATACCTACATTGGTGTATCTATAAAAACGCTACCCTAAAAAAACGCTACACTAAAAAAACGCTACATAGGCTATATTCGCTACAAGTTTATTGCCTGTTTCTGTTTGTGTATAAGATTTTAAAATTCACATAGTCGTAAATTGAAAATAAATCATAAGTTTATAATTTAAGAGATATATATTTTTAAATTCTCATAGTCATAAATGGAAAAATTATAAGTGTACCACATATTATTACGGTCATTCATTCTTGAATGGGCAATTAATTCTATTTTTATGACATTTTACATGTACATAACGGCCACAAATGCACCTCTTTGAGCCTCCCTTGCGTTTAAAATTCAAATTACAAAGATGACAAATTCTGGTGATGGTCTGGTCTGGATGAGTGATATCTGTTGTATCCGACAGTTTAGTTCTTTTGGGGCTGGAATTATCTAAAAATTGAAATACTTAGGAAATATTCATTGGAAACAAATGTTAATTATAAGCATTAATATATTTTTCATCATATTACCTAAAATTGTTGTGGACTTTCTTTTTGTTCTGCACTGGGTCGATGGTTTGTTTTGATCTAATCTCTCCTGGAGCAAGGTTGGAGTTACTTGCATAATTGCATATTGCATATGAAATCTCAGGCTGTTGAATTTGCTCAACATCTGAGTTGACAGATCTCAGTGTCATCCTGGCAACCTGAGACTCAAACAATCGATATGTAGAGTTATTCATCCTATTGTAATGCTTCATTATAATGCTGGAATCAGTTGGAGTAATGGACTGATAATGTCCAGATTGAAAAAATGTTTCTTCAAACCATAGAAGAGTTAGTGGAGCACTATATGGATCTCGATTATCAGAGCGAATTAAACAATACTGTTTACAGATATGGGCAGAGATTTCAAATACAGGGATATACAGAATATCACGTCCAATTAAGTTTGAAAAAATTTGTAGACAGTACTCGTCTCCGAATTCACCAAACTTCAATTGGTTCATCTTCATTTATCCAGATTATTCTCTCTGTTTCAAGTTGTTCTAGTAGGTTGATGACTACAGCAGATCTAACAGATTTATGACAGTTATAAGGTGTACCTGGATCTAGTCGAACAAGCTGTTTTTGATCATCTCTGTTCAGCCTTTTTCCATCCTTCTTGAAGTTGTAATAGTCCACCGGTTTGCTGTCCAGACTTAGATAAATCAGATATAACAATCGGACTATTATCCTTGTTGTTGCAAAGCAAATAGAATTCGGTCCTACGCTGGCATGAATTATGAAAACTTGATACCAGAGATATGGCGTGATGCGGAACGTTCCATCTCCTGTAATAACAAAATTTAATTTTTTGCGAACACTCCCTTTAAAAAAATTCTTCGCGAACAGTCCCTTTAAAATAAAAATTCTTACCATGAATTGTTTCTGCTCTAGAGAGGATCTGCAAACACTCGTTAGTGGAGCACACAAGGGTTCTTAATCCATCAGAGTGAAGGTAATCTCCGATCACTATGGATTGATCATTGATCAAAAACCACTTGGAATGAATATCTAGTTCACCCTGGGTTTCTGGGGCTGGCGGGATAAAAAGTCTTCTGATGGCGTACATTTGAGTTTGTAAAACTTCATACGGTTTGATCGAATCCAAAAATAAATTATATATATTTTATATATATTTTATTTTAGAATAGTAGCGAATATATATCTCTATAAATTATAAACTTATACACACACAGAAACAGGCAATAAACTTGTAGCGAATATAGCCTATGTAGCGTTTTTTAGTGTAGCGTTTTTTTAGGATAGCGTTTTTTTAGTGTAGCGTTTTTTTAGTGTAGCGTTTTTATAGTGTAGCGTATTTATAGTATGACCCCTACATTCCCCTTCAGGTTCAAATTCTGTTTTCCAATTACTGGATAAACGGTTAATATCAAATTCACTTAAGATAATAAGATTATAAGATTGATATTGTTTAGCTAATTGACTTAAATTCAATTCTAATAACTCTAAACGGAAATTGTATATCAAACATATATTCATACTGACGTGTATATTTTTCTGACAAAAAAAAATCCCAGAAGTTAAATGTATGTTTATTTAAGTTTTATGCGCTGAATTGGATACATAAATGATTTTAGGGAGAAAGTAAATACATTTTTTAATGTGACAAGTTTTCATTCCCCCCCCCCTTCATCTTAAAATTCACCCCCAATTCTTAAAAGCATCCCCTGTATAGTGCATAGAATAAATGTTTTAAAAATCGATGCTTAACTTTGATACAGATGATAAAACAGTTGGTTTATGGCTTAATGTTAAAAACACTACAGTGAATATTCCGGATTTCTGGACTTCACATTTCATACTTCATTGGTTTTATGCATTTATATTACTATAGGGATGGGATAGAGATGGGCATTGTTTTATGCATTTATATTACTATAGGGATGGATTGTTTTTCAGCAAACATTTTTCAAAAATTAACGAAAATTGTCTTTAAAAAAAGGTGTTGTTCAGAAAAAAATAAACTTTTGAAAATAACCTTTTTTACTGAAAAACGAACCTATTGAATTTTTTTCTGAGCGCCTGAAAAATAGAACGAAATGGGTCTTTAAGGAATGATGAACAAAGAAATGAAATAAACGAACGCACCCATCTCTTCCATAGGGTTACAAGGTAGGAACTATTTGCAAGCTCTTCATGGTTTTTTAACAGAAACATCTTTTTAAATTACTTGTAATTTTAAGAAAAACGCAAAAAAAAAATTCTAAACCTCAAAGTCTAAGACCTAAGTTTGTGAAAACATATACATTTTTTTATGTTTACTTCAGGCTTATTCAGATTGAATTATAAAAATGAGCTCAATTTTACTGTGAATATGATATGATTTTACTGTGAAGATATTGCTAGGAAAATCATTAATTATTGCGGGGGCTACTCTTTTTTTTAAAAGGGTTTAACAAAGAAATTCTACTTTTTAAATAATATCAAAAAAGTTTTAAATAGCCAGAAAGCTGTGCTGCAAGGCTAAAAGATGTATTTGAAAATTTTGTTTTCCTTTTATTACCTTTCCAGGAAAATTAAAAAAACTCATTCACTTTAAAATTTCTAAAATACACCTCGTAAAACTATTTTTTTGTTAAATCATTAATAATTTGCATCTATTTTTTCATGATTTGCCAATCCCGAGAAAGTAATCACATGAACCCCTGTTGCTAAACCACCCCATGTATATTTATGATGATAAAGTGTTTTTAAAGGATTACATTTGAGCATTATTATAATAAATGAACCAAACACTTTATTTTTTCCACAATGTTACACCAATCTGGAAAAATACAGGCATTCTAGAAATATTAGAAGAGAAATATAGGATTTTTAAATACATGGATGGAAAATATTTTTAGCATTAATTAATTCTATATTCGTCGTCGTATTTATCAATAAAATGAGAAAGACTTTTGTTTTTAATTTTGGATTTCTAGCTTTCAAGCAGTGTGAATACACATAAACATTGAAACAAAGAAAAGCTGTCAATTGACAGCTTCTATTTGTTTATTTGTAAACTTGTATTTGAAAAAAGCTTGTTAGCAAGCAAAACTTTAATAGAAAATTCGTCTGCATTGTATTGATATAAACGCTTACTACTTAAATAAATTTATCTTCATGTGTGACAATTTTACAATCATTTTATAGGAAAATATGAATGCATGCATGTGAAAACACGATTAGGATCGATAAAAAAAACGTTTAATATTTATAAAGTTATAGTAATTTTCTATTTGTCTGTTTGTTTGGATATACTTTCATAACTCTTGAACCCCTTGGACATTGTTGCCTCAAGTTTTGATTGGGAAACTCGGTAAAATCACGGGAATGTTCTGAGCTTGGTTTCAAAATTTTAAATGGAGTATAGTCGGTTTTAAAGTGAAAACTTCATGCAAACTGGGTTCCATAGCTAGTATATAGCTTTAAGGCTTAATTTTTATGAAATTTTCTGATTAGTCCCGAAAATCGCAATTTAAAGATAGGACCCGATTCAATATGAGATGGGATACAGACTGTTTTGATTTCATCCTCTAAAGAGTTTTTGTGAATTGAAAAGCGGAAAAAGCAGTTGACACTGAAAGGATTAACATTCAGTTCTTGAAGACTCAATTCGCTTTTCTAAGCAAATTTCAGTAACAAAAATAACTTTTTACGTTTTATCATTATTCAGAAAATCATGGCTGAAGCACGAAATTACGCCAGGATATTATCAGCTATACCTAGGTAGGAGTCTCTTTCTCCGAACCCCCCCCCCCTTCTAGCTAGGAGTCCCCGCCCCCTTCTTAGATTTTTCGGTGCAATCCCTTTATGTGTGCTCAGAGAAAAGAAAAACATCCAATATTGAAGAATCTTGCATAAAGTGGTCAAATTAACATCTTCTTTTTTACTTTTATGGTTTTTTTAGCGAGGCATATCTCTTAATGCAAAGTTAGCTCTTTTATAGGAACGAGGTTAGCTTTTTAGGAACGTAAAGGTCTATAGGAACGAGGTTAGCTTTTTAGGAACGAGGTTGGCATTTTGGGAACATTATTAGCTCTTTTGTTACTAGGTAAGAACTTTAGGAACGTTATTTATAGCTATGTAGGAGCAAAGTTAGCTCATTAGGAACGTTATGGACGTGTGAACAACGAGGTTAGCTTTTAAAGAACGTTATTTGCTCTTTAGAAACGTACCTAGCTTTTTATGAACGAGGTTAGCTCTTTTGGAACGATATTAGCTCTGAAGGCACGTTATTAGTATTTTAAGAACGAGGTTAGCTTTTAAGGAATGTTATTGGCTCTTTAGGAACAAGGTTAGATATTTATGGCCGAGGTTAGCCTTTTAGGAACGTTTTTATCTCTTTGTGAACGAGGTTAGCTCTTTAGGAACGTTATTAGCTCTTTAGAAACGTTACTAGCTCTTTAGAAACGAGGTTAGCTCTTTAGAAACAAGGTTAGCTCTTTAGAAACGAGGTTAGCTTTTAAGGAACGTAATAAGCTCTTTAGGAACAATTTTAGCTTGTAAGGAACGTTATTAGCTCTTAAGCAACGAAATTAACTCTTTAGGGACGAGATTAGCTCTGTAGAAACGAGGTTAATTCTGTAGAACATTGTAAGCTCTTTTGTAATAAGGTTAGCTTTTTAGGAACGATGTCAACTCTAAAAAAAACATAGTCAGCTCTTTAGAAACAAGGGTTGCTCTTTAGGAACGTTATCAGCTCTTTAGGAATGAGGTTAGCTTTTTTGGAACGTTATTAGCTCTTAAGGCTAGGTTTGTTCTTAAGAACGAGGTTAGTTCTTTAAAAAGATGTTAGCTCTTCAGAATCAAGGTTAGCTATTCAAGCTATTCAAGCTATTTTAAGCACCGGGCTTAGCTCTTTTAGAATCATGGTGAATATCTGGGAACGAGATCTTTTTAAATTTTAAATATAATTTTAAGCAAAACTTCCCATTGAAGAGTTGCTAAATCCAGATCTGTACATTTAATACTTGAATTTTAGTAACAATAAGGGAGAAATTATCTTTTGCTATCTTAGAGCTTGTTAAATTTGTCAATTCTTTTCTTTGTATCTGTTTTTTAAAATACAGGAGTCATTTTTAAAGGAAAAAATAAATTGAACATTTTCCATTTATATAGATAAAAACATGAAAATAGCTTAGTCATTTTAGCAAAGATGTTGGTTTAAAAGATTTCATTACTCTGAAAATTTACCAATCTGTGTTTATTGTTAAATATTTTAATCACTTACCGGTGCCGTTGGTTGAATGATCATTATTCAATGTTGGCGCATTTTTTTCTCTTTTTTAACAACGTGTAGCACAATAGTTTGAGGAGAAACTATCTACTGTAGTTTCAGCATCAATGGTTGGGAATACACTAAACCAGAGATCCGCTTCAATCCTCGATATATAGAGTATCCAGCTTTAATATATATATTCCGTAAACATTCATCTGCCCCATTCTTATCCTCATCCTCCTCCTCACATTCCTCATCCTCATTTTCCTCTTCATCCTCCTCATCCTCCTCCTGCTCCTCCTCCTCCTCCTTTACCTCCTCCTCATCCTCTTCATCATCCTCGTCTTACTTATCCTCCTCGATCTCCTCATCCTCCTCATACTCCTCATCTTCCTCATCCACTTCTACCCTTTATCCTCCTCATCCTCCTCCTCCTCCTCATCTTCCTCCTCATTCTCTTCATTCTCCTCATCCTCCGCATACTCCTCATCATTCTCGTCCCTTTCTCATCCACCTCATCCTTCTCATCCATCTCCTCCTCGTCCTCCTCCTCCTCCTCCTCATTCTACTCCTACTCCTCAGCTTCCTCGTCCATCCCATCCTCCTCATCCTCCTTATCCTCATTCTTTTCAAAATCATCCTAATCCTCCTTATCCTTCCAATCCTCCTCATCNCTCCTCCTCCTCATTCTACTCCTCCTCCTCATCCTCCTCATCTTACTCATCCTCCTCGATCTCCTCATCCTCCTCATACTCCTCAGCTTCCTCGTCCATCCCATCCTCCTCATCCTCCTTATCCTCATTCTTTTCAAAATCATCCTAATCCTCCTTATCCTTCCAATCCTCCTCATCCTTGTCATTAACCTTACCCTCCTCATCCTCCTCATCCTCCACATTATCCTCCCAATCCTCCTCATCCTTGTCATTATCCTTACCCTCCTCATCCTCCTCATTCTCCTCATCCTCCTCATCCTCCTCATCCTCCTCATCCTCCTCATCCTCCTCATCCTCCTCATCCTCCTCATCCTCCTTATCCTCCTCACCCCTCTTCATTCTTCTCAATCTCATCCTTCTGATCCTCCTAATCCTCCTCATCCTAGTTTTCTAATTTTTTAATTTTCTAGTTTTCAAATTTCTAGTCTTGAGTTTTCTTGGTTTTTGCAGTTCCTTTGTTCTCTAGTTTTCTTGTTTTTTAGTTTTCTATTTCCATAATTATTTTAATATTTATATTTTCAATATCCTTTGTATTTTAGTTTCCGTGTTTTCAGTTTATTTTATTCTTTTTAAAGTATATTTTTTCTATCGTTTCTCAAATATTTCAGTTATTTTTCTTTTTATTCTTTATCTCAAATATTTCCCGGTACGGGGGAAGTGCTCACTTCGATTCTTTGTTTAATCCGCAATTTTCTTATTTTCTCCTCCGAGCCAAATCCAAACGGTCATAAATCTAATGCAATTATTTTTTAGAAGACACCCCTGTTCGATCATTTCAAAACTTTAAAAATGAATTGTTACATTTTTCTCAACTTTTGAGAGAATTTTTTTTTATCGTTTAGAAAAACTCTTTCACATTGAATTAAAAAAAAGTTTCACAGAGGTTGGCATTTATAATGAAGATCTCAACTTTTTAGTTTTACTGGTTAATTATTTTTACGGCCCAGCATTTTATTTTTAAAGAATCTTACACTGCTCCAGTTTTGAAAAAAAAATCATCCTTAATTAATTCATTCATACATTATTCGCCATTGTTGAACTTTCGGTTAGATTATTTTTAGCCATATTTTGTTTTTTTAATTTACGATCTATCGAAAACAGCTCAAACATTTTAAAATACTGTACTGCTTAAATATATTTAGTCCAACAATAAAGTATTAAATAGCAAATATGAAAATCATAATTTAACGGGTGGGTTCTAGGTTCACTGATTTTTAAATAGGACCCCTAATTTACCCTGAAATAATTCTCGTACCATTCGCCATAGCTTTTACCCCATTTCCATATATTTATATATTGGGAAGTGTATATGCCTATATCTAGCTTTATGTGTAAATATATTGGATTAGGCACATTACTCGCTTTGTACATTATGATATAGTATTTGGGAGAAATAGAGATATCCTATCACACAATCTTATGGTTCTTTATAGTGAAAACAAATATAATCATAACATTTTAAAGCGATAAAAAGTGAAAATTAATTCGTTCTTTAGCTTTATATTTTTAATATCAAAAAGTAAAAAACGTACTTTTCTAAACGTTATTTCAAGTCTATAATAATATTAAAGTTAAATGAAGTAGAAAACGTTCTTTTCTAAACGTTATTTCAAGTCTATAATAATATCAAAGTTAAATGAAGTAGAAAACGTTCTTTTCTAACCGTTATTTCAAGTCTATAATAATATCAAAGTTAAATGAAGTAGAAAACGTACTCGTCTAAACGTTATTTTAAGTCTATAATAATTTCAAAGTTAAATGAAGTAGAAAACGTACTCTTATAAACGTTATTTTAAGTCTATAATAATATCAAAGTTAAATGAAGTAGAAAACGTTCTCTTCTAAACGTTAGTTCAAGTCAATAATAATATCAAAGTTAAATAAAGTAGAAAACGTACTCTTCTAAACGTTATTTCAATACAATAATAATATCAAAGTTAGATGAAGTAGGAAAAGTACTCATCTAAATGTTATTTTTCATTAAATTAGCATGTCCTATTTACAACGGCAACGTTTGAAACTTTTATCTAACTCTTTACTCAAATTAAAACTAAGCCAAGAACATTTCTATAGCTTTACTGTTCAAAAGTCAAAATTTGAGTCAAATCGGTCCAGGGGTTCATGAGTTATGATCGAACATACAGACAAACAAACAATCAGAGATACCTATTTTATGTATAAGTTAAATAAAGTAGAAAACGTACTCTTCTATTACTTCTGAAGTATTTCAAAGTAAAATCAATTCTATTGTTACCTTTTTTCCTATGAATGGTTAAAAGGTAAACATCTGCCAACATTTAAAAAACGATTAAAACAGTTGAAAGCTAAAATTGTTATTTTAAAAATGGAGTCCGGTTCTAATTGCGCCCTAAAAGCTAAAGAATTAATCATGTCAAGATTTAATTCATTTGTTAATCTAAAACAGTACATTTGGATCTAAACATTTTTTATACTAGTCGACTAGGTCGACTTTAAAGCGTCGTATATCGCTTTGGCCTTGGATTCTACTTCAGTTACTGACTTATACTTTTTTTGTAGCCTTAGACGTGTACATTTTAAAATTATAAAGCACTTGCTTTTTTATTTAGCCTTTACGAAGAAATTTGCAAAAAAATCAGAGATTTTTCTACGAGTGATTGGAAACTTTGTATCACTGTGAGCAAGGAGAAAATATTTAAAGTAATTCCTAAAAGTTAAGTTTTACAAAATTTTGTTTTAAATAATGTATTTTTCAGAGAGAGTTGTAAAGTGCTCTTTTCAGCTTAAATATGACAGGGGGGGGGGGGGGGGTATTTCACGTTATTATTTTTAATACAACCGTATTTAAGGTTTAAGGCTGTAACCCTTTTATAAGTAAAAAGTATGTACAGGGTGTTCCACATCATATTGGATCGTGTTACAGCTTTAAATTTCGATTTCCGGGAGTAATCAGAAAATCTAAAAAGAATGAATCATTAAAAAAATCGAATGAAGAAGAAGTGAATGTTACGGAAAGTCACTAATTTTTCCCTATATCTTTGCGACATGACATTGAACACTTTTGATAATTCCAACTTAGCTTATTTAATTTGACAAAATTCGTAGTTTAAAATATCTAAGATCTACACCATTTGATTTTTAATTTTCAATTTTAAATGTTTATTGTAATCTAATATTCTGCAACTGTACACAATGTAGGAAATTGAAATGCTGCATTTGCAGATTAAGTGTTTACTGAAAAATAAACGATGATGTTTTTAAATGACGTTTGGATGTCTGTATGTTGATAACCAAATAATGTCTCGTACTACAAGTAAAGTGTAGCCAGTAGGACAAGTGAAAAGTAGGACAAATGACGTGTAGGACAAATAGAGAGTAGGACAAAACAAAAAAATGGTGGATAAATGAAGTATAGGACATGTGAAATGTAAACTGTAAGACAAGTAAAGTGTAGGACAAGTAAAGTTTTGGACAAATAAAGTGCAGGAATAGTGAAGTGTAAGACAAGTAAAGTGCAGGACAAGTAAAGTATGGGACATGTAAAGTTTAGAACATGTAAAGTAGAGTGTAGGACAAGTAAAGTGTAGGACAAGTAGAGTGTAGGACAAGTTAAGTGTAGGACAAGTAGAGTGTAGGACAAGTAGAGTGTAGGACAACAAGTAGAGTGTAGGACAAGTTAAGTGTAGGACAAGTAAAGTGTAGGACAAGTAAAGTGTAGGACAAGTAAAGTGTAGGACAAGTTAAGTGTAGGACAAGTAGAGTGTAGGACAAGTGAAGTGTAGGACAAGTAGAGTGTAGGACAAGTAGAGTGTAGGCCAAGTAAAGTGTAGGACAAGTAGAGTGTAGGACAAGTAGAGTGTAGGACAAGTTAAGTGTAGGACAAGTTAAGTGTAGGACAAGTAGAGTGTAGGACAAGTGAAGTGTAGGACAAGTAGAGTGTAGGACAAGTAAAGTGTAGGACAAGTAAAGTGTAGGACAAGTAAAGTGTAGGACAAGTAAATGGTAGGACAAGTAGAGTGTAGGACAAGTAAAGTGTAGGACAAGTAAATTGTAGGACAAGTAGAGTGTAGGACAAGTTCCACAAAAGTTTAGGTTAAGAAGTTTTTTTTCTATTTTTAATTAATTATTTTGAACCTTAGAAAAAGATTAATACTGTTTAAGAAATTTTCGTGAGGAAATCTTAATATTTTGTTCTTAATGTTTAACTTAATGATTAGCATTTGAAGTGACGAACATGTAGTTAGAAATGTGTAACAGAATATGCATATAAAAAAATTCAGTGAAGAGTTAAAAAGCTGAATACGAAATTAATTACTTTAATCAAACTCCATAGATTGTACTCTTAAAGGAACTGTGAAAGAAGTTTTGAATTAATCTCTTTTTTATGTATTTTTCATGTCCGATTTACAGTGGTATACTTTTTTCATAGTGGCAGGAGAGTAGTTTGTAGACAGCAGGGGTGTACTTGCAAGTCTTCAGATATATTGAAACTTGTATTAACGGTTAAGTTTATTTTCTAACAAATTGCCACAATTAATTTAACAATATCAAAAATTAATTTCAACAAATACAAAACAACCATGATATAAAAGGTTTAGTGCTTTTGGTTTAGTTTACAACCATTGGAAGCTGTTTGGCTCGGAAGTGCAAGGGTTAACAAGATTTAACACAGGGATAGTATAATAACATTGAAATGGATGAATGTCATTCTTAGATGTTACAGTACAGGGAGTCCAAATAAACGTTTTTCGGAATAAAAATTAAAGTAAAAAAATAAATGTTTTAAAAGAATGCCATGCGCCTTAAACGCGCATTTGTATTTTAAAAGTTGTCAGAGATATGACAATTTTTATTTAGCATCCAGAAAAATTTTAAAGGTACAAATTGACAGGCAATGTTTGAGAAATCTAAAGACAAAGCGCTTTAAATTATTGGTATTTACTTAAACTGGAGTTTTTTGATTTCTGAGCTTACGGGAAAAAAATATGGGTGGATTAAACTTTGATAATCAAATGTCACTTATTCATTTTTTTATGGACACCCTGTAAGACACTGACAAAAATGTTTTAATTATAAGGTCACATTTATATAAATTTGATAAGAAGCAAAGATTTAAATTAAATTAAACTTTTTTATACATTTAAAATTCTGTCAATGATTATTTTCAATTTCTGGGCAATTGCATTTTCTGCTTCAGCATGATCTACAAAGTTGGTTTGGGATTTATTTGGCTCTGAAGTTTGGTCTGGTGCAGAGGTTTGGTCTGGTGCAGAGGTTTGGTCTGGTGCAGAGGTTTGATCTGGTGCTGAAGTTTTATTTGATACTGAAGTTTGGTTTGGTACTGAGGTTTGGTTTGGTGCTGAGGTTTGGCTTGGTGCTAAGGTTTGGTTTGATGTTGTAGTTTGGTTTGTTGGTGAGGTTTGGTTTGATCCTGAGGTTTGGTTTGGTGCTGTGGTTTTGCTTGGTGCTGAGGTTTGGTTTGATGTTGTTGTTTGGTTTGTTGGTGAGGTTTGGTTAGGTCCTGAGGTTTGGTTTGGCATATGAAAAGCCTGAGAAAGGGCAATCAGACCGGGTAAAAGAACATCTTGTAAAACCTACAAATAGAATATTTAAATACAAAAATATTGCATTTCATACAGTAATAACCAGAATAAACCTGTTTCATACAGTAATAACCAGAATAAAGCTGTTTCATAAAGTAACAACCAGAATAAAGCGGTAAATCAAAGTAGTTTTTGTTAAACATTTTAATTAGCAACGTTACCAAAGATTTTGATTTCGTAGTTGTTAAAACTTTGTAATTGAGCATTGGTATTGTGAATTAAGAACTGTTTTGCAACGTTATGCAAGATTAAGAAAGGGTTTTCTCTAGATTCAACATTGAATTAAAAAATATTGTTTGAACATTTGTTCTAATTAAGTAAATGAAAACCTTCTTTCCCTTTAAAGTTATCCCAAAAATCACAAGCCTCACATTTTTAATGCATTAATTATCGATAACAATTTAACCTTATAAATCGATTAAATTTTTAAATTAATATTGTTCAAATGAGAAAAACAATCAACAACAATTCTTTCAGTTCTTTTTATTTTGTTCACAAGTTGGCGCATATTTAAAACTTTTTAAAAATTCATGCAATTCTTCTTTAAAACTTTTCTTCTTGAAAACTTTAAATTTCTTAAAGAATAAATCAAATTCAGAAACATATATATTATATACACATTTTTGAAACCAATTATCAACTAATTTCCTAAAGTTTTTTATTTTGCTTGGACGATTTCTTGCACGGAAAAGTAAAAATAGTACATTAATACCTTGATAGGATATACGTATAATGCGAAGTAATCTTCAAAAATTTGATCTAGATATCCAATATAAGAGTTTAGGCTCAATGCTTGTTGCTCCGTGAATACAAGTTATCCCTGCAGGAAATGCACGTCACGGGATTTAAAAGAGGCATTAAATGAATTTGTAGATCTGAATAAGATGGAATGGAGGGAGGTCAGGATCCAGAGATTTATAATACAAGAAGTCTCTTACTTCAGGTCACATTGTAAAATCCTAATTGATGTCTCTAAGTTAAAGACGACTTTCATTAAGCTTAAAGGGAGTGACCGGCTATGTAAAATAGTTGAACTGAGTATGCAGTGTTGTGGAAAACTTCTTTCGAATTCATTTGAGACATATTAAACTTTTTAAAGATCTGTAAATCCTGAGTTTGAGCGCAAATTTGACGTTCAAAACGCCTATTTTGGGGGTGGATACGTTTTCAGAATTGTTTTTTTTTCAATTATTATATAGCGACGATAAAAAATAAAAAAAAAACTCTACAGTAAACTAGTTAGTTGTTTCGGAACCGGTTGAGAAAATAAAAATTAATCTTATCATCGAAAATAAGTAATCTTGTTCAATTATTAGTTTATATTTTCTTATTATTCTAGTTCTCATTATTCACAAACATTTTCTGCAGATTTTCTTGAATCATTATTGAAAGACGACATTTGAAGAATTTTAAGATACAGGGTGTCCCAATAAACATGGGAATTCAGTGACGAATTCGATATCGTCTTTTGGAATAATACTTTGATTTAGTACAGTGATACCTACATAGAAAGCTGTAATCTGTAAGAGTTTCGTCTGCTATGTTAACATTTTGTTTGTTTATGTTTTGACTGCATACGGTTGTACTTAGTAAAACAAGAAAATTGCAGTATACAAACAGAGTAAACTTGTCCGTCTTCTCTGTTCATCTTGCCGAGACATTATAGATACATCTTTACAGTCTTTTACACTTTTCATAAAATAAACTCAAGCAGACATCATAATATTATGGCTTTTGAAATTAGGTATTACAATGATATTTCATAACAAAGACGATATCCAATTCGTGACTAAATTCCCATGTTTTTTGGGACACCCTGTATCTGCGAATAAATTCAAAGAAAATTCAATCCAATGATGAAAACGAAATAATTGGTTCTAGAATTGATTTCTTGACAAATTTCTTTTGAGAAATATGTTGCTAACCATCTAATTAGATTACTGTATGATTTTTACTTTATTTTTCGTCGTCGTTATTTAGTACTTAAAAAAAACCGATTCTGAAAACGTATCCACACCCAAAGTAGGAGTTTTGAACATCGAATTTGCGCTCAAACTCAGGATTTACAGATCTTTAAAAAGTTTTATATGTCTAAATGAATCCGACAAAAGCTTTCCACAACACTGCATACTCAGTTCACCTACCTTACGTAGCCGTCACTCCCTTTAATACTAGATATTACTGTTGATATAACCAAGCTTAATGATAAATTGCGTAATTTTGTTTGACTAAGTAATTCTACAATTTGCAGAAGTAAAGAAAAAATAATAATGTAACCTGTAGGGTTGATTTGTCTTGTTTTTCTATACTTTGGAGTATTTTTAGGATAAGTGTATTCCAGGACCCATCTAGAAATATTAAAAATATTAGAGTATTCCAGGACTCATCTAGAAATATTAGAAATATAAGAGTATTCCAGGACTCATCTAAAAATATTGTAGATAAGGGTATTCTAGGACCCATCTAGAAATATTAAAAATATAAGAGTAATCCAGGACTCATCTAAAAATATTGTTGATTCATGTAAATTTTCCTAACAATTTTTTTAACTGCGGGTATTCCAGAACCCAACTAAAAATATCCATAGATAAAATGGTATTACCGGGCCCACATAGAAATATTATAAATATAATAGTTTTCCAGAGATGGAATTTAAAGAATTTGAGCCGCGGTTTAAATCTGCCAAACCCCGGCTTAAATTAAGCGCCGGCTTAAATCTTGAAACATTTGATACAATTTTAAGTGAAACCAACCATATTTAAGCCGCGGCTTAAATTTAAACCGCCGCTCAAATTCTTTAAATTCAGCCACAGGACCTATTTAGAAATGTTATAGATAAAAGGGTAATCTAGAACCCATCTGTAAATGTTTTAGATATAATTGGGTATTCCAGGGCCCATCCAGAAATATTATAGAAAATAGAGCATTCCAAGACCTATTTATTTTAATCAAATGCTTGGATTCTTAGGGAATTCTGCCTGAATGCTTATTTTTATGCAAAGCTAAATCACTGTCTTGGCCCTGTTTTTGATTTTAGTATGTTTCAAAATTTACCAACATGATGACAATTAAGTAATGTTAACTGCAACATAATGTTATAATGAAACAAATAGTTTTACTGGTAGCATAGATATCAATGTATACACACACTGCACAATTGCTGTGAGTTGGACTGTTTCATATCATAACTGAAGTTAAACAATCTTCTTCCTATTCCAATGTTTTATGAGTCTTATTGTATATTTTTGAAAACATGAGACTTTTGAAAACGATAATGACATTTTTGTTGATGTTAGAAACTGCAAAAACATAAACGGAAGCAATACTGTTATAAAATTAGTTTTGTTAAAAAAAAATACATACCTCTATATATTTTGTCAGTTTCCAAACTTATTTTTTTTTGTTCTTCAATCTCTGGATCAGTGCACTCAATACTAGCAATTTTTTGATCATAAATTCAACCAATTTTTCCTTATTGTTTTTGACATGTTAGAAAATCTAATTTGTATTGTTATCTCAAACTAAAAGCATGTAAAAAAAAAATTCGCCTGCAAAATGTTTGCAGTTGAGAAACAGATTGAGGCACTTATTTTAGCAAATTGATGAAACTGAAATGGTAATTTTAAGTACATAATCGATAAATGCTTGCCCACATTTATACACACACTCCCTGTAAATGTATTTTACACAATTCAAATTGCGATTTTTTGTTTGTCCAGCTTTTTATAATTGAATTGATTAGGCCAGGAGAAGCGTAATGAATTTCTGACCATCATATTAATATGAAAGAAGAAATACCTTTGATAAAAGGAAAAGAAATACATTTTCTGATAATCCTGAATAAATATACATAATGTATGTAAAAGCCCAAATATTCCAGGTTCTATTGAATTATCTGATACGATGTCTGTACACGGAATACAGATATATCTTCTTAGAAAACATAGTTTACAGGACCCTGTCATAAATAATGTATTGAATTATGGGACATGTTGACGTCATTTCGTGTGAACTAGCATGTCAGAAGCACGCCGGTACCCCTTCAAACTTTATTTCAGGAAAATATTGTCATTTAGAGTTTTGCTCAGCATTAAGAAGAGAGATAATTAAAGTTTCTTGGGCTTATAATTGAACTACTTGAAACCGCTGAATAACCCTATTCCAAAAGTATTGGTCTGAGGCTGTTGACATTTTTTCACTTTTCCTAACTACTCATAGTCCTCCCTGAGTCCTCAGACACACTGCCTGAAGGACTACTTTTTCTGTAAACAATCTTTGTTTTGACCCATTTTCAGTTGTCAGATTTTGATAATTTTTAGCTTTCTGGAAAGCTCATAATATGAGGCGACGGATTGCACAAGCTTTTTAAAGAAGTTTTAGCAAATAATTTGCAAACAACAAGTCAAAAAAAATTGCATATTTTTAGTTTTTCTTGATTAAAAATCAGGTTATTTAAAATTTTGCAAAAATTTTAGCATATTTGAAATAACATGGTACAGTACATTTCATAATTTTTTGGTAATTATTTTGTTTGCAAGCGTTTTACTTTTTAATTGGATTTTGTACAATTTATTGTTTATTTTGCAAATTTGAATTTTTTTTAATTCTAAAATTAATCTCCCCAGGCATTTCCTGGTTTTCAGCAGGAACAGGGTTTATTATTACTATAAGCTTTAAAGTTGTTATTAAAACGTTAAACATTTCTGAACCAGATAAATTTTAACATTCCATATTTCATTTCATTCATGAATAAACATGTCGGGAAAAAACGGTCTTATAAAAGAAAGATATAATTTTATTTTACTCTCCCTGCAGGCTGCAGATTCTAAATATAGTTGGCTCAAAAAGTTTAAAATAAAAGTAATAAAGTAAATTCTGCTTTGAACATACTTTCAGTTGACATTGTCACATACTTCACAATTTGATTAAAATATAAAAGAGAAAAATAGTTCTTTGAAATATCATTATTTGTAAAAAAAAAGTTCTCAGTATCTGTATCCTTGTATATAATAAATCTTTTCAGAGATTGAAAAAATCTCCCTTGATTAAAGAAAATATGTAGCAAAATTAGTAAAGGAATTGAATTTTTGAATCCCTTTATCTTTGCAACCCAATTACATTGTTGCAGAGATGTAGAGATTCGAAAAATGTTTTTGTTAAACGTTACCGCAAATAAAATTGATCCAAAGAATGGAAAATAAAGAAAATGGTTTAATTTAGTGAAATATTCCTGGGGGATCTTTGTATCACTGGTTTGATATTAAAGGGATTGTGTCGTCTACTTGCTATCCTCTCCTTCTGTCTCGTACCCTAATGAAAAAATGTAGACAACCTCTTTTTAAAAATTTGTTCAACCAGACTTGCAAGGTTCTCCGGCCCAACCTACTATTTCAATTTTGAATTGTGGTTCTATTTGTGAACATCTCCTCGTTTTACAATAAAAAACATTTACGATAAAAGTTTAGCAGATTTAAAATTATTTTCAAAATTTTTCGAAAATAAATGAGTCTGCGCATCCATTAACCTTCCCGGGGATCATATGAGGTCCCACAAAAATGTTGGCCTGATCGGTTCAGCCGTTTCCGTGTTTATTTTATACAGACACCCACCCAGACAAGCAAAGTATGTACAAACTAGGCTTTATGCGCTTCGCACCCATCTTCTATTACAATTGTAACATATTCTCTTTTTATACATTGTCAAACAAAAACAAAACAAAAAAACGCGAATTTAAAAAAAGAAATTTCGTTGATTTTCAAAATTTTCAAAAATCGAATTTTGCTAGAGGCAAATTTTTGAAAATTCGACTAGCCATAAACCTTCCCTGGGGTAACGCGAAGTCTCACGAAAAGTTGGGCCCGATCGGTCTTGCCGTTTTGACGTTTATTGGATACAAACACCCAGACAGAATAACAAGTAGTACATCCTCGTCAGTTTTCAGATAAAATAACAAGTACATCTTCGTCAGTGTTTAGATAGAATAACAAGTACATCCTCGTCAGTGTTCAGATAGAATAACAAGTACATCCTCGTCAGTTTTCAGACAGAATAACAAGTACATCCTCGAGTCAGTTTTCAGATAGAATAACAAGTACATCCTCGTCAGTATTCAGATAAAATAACAAGCGCATCCTCGTCAGTTTTCAGATAGAATAACAAGTGCATCCTCGTCAGTTTTCAGATAGAATAACAAGTGCATCCTCGTCAGTGTTCATATAGAATAACAAGTGCATCCTTGTCATTTTTCAGATAGAATAACAAGTACATCCTCGTCAGTGTTCAGATAAAATAACAAGTACATCCTCGTCAGTGTTCAGATAGAATAAAAAGTACATCCTCGTAAGTTTTCAGATAGAATAACAAGTCCATCCTCGTCAGTGTTCATATAGAATAACAAGTGCATCCTTGTCATTTTTCAGATAGAATAACAAGTACATCTTCGTCAGTTTTCAGATTGAATAACAATTACATCCTCGTCAGTTTCAAGACAGAATATCAAGTACATCCTCGTCAGTTTTCAGATGGAATAACAAGTACATCTTGGTCAGTTTTCAGATAGAATAACAAGTACATCTTCGTCAGTTTTCAGATAGAATAACAAGTACATCCTCGTCAGTTTTCAGATAGAATAACAAGTACATCCTCGTTGTTAACCGAAAACCTTTATACAATGTTTCTCAATCCTAATTGTATAGATCTTTCAGCAAGTAATTGGAAGTAATTTGAGAAAAAGTCTCAAAATACCACTTATTTAGAGAAAAACATCAAAGACGGTTTACTAGTTATACCATTAACAGAAAAAAATAGCCTAATTGGCCACCATGAATGCTATTCTGTTGGTTTAGGCATAGAATATACAGATAATAAAAGGATGCAGGTTACTTTGAGATAATTTAATCGTAATGCGTTTTATTTTTTTATCAAGTCAAAACAATTAGATTTAACGCATTTTGCAGCACATTTTCAGAATATTAAGGGTGATGCAAAGATGGAATAAAGCTATTGGGGTGGACAGCGTGTGTTTATATTTTTCTGCAACGAAGTACAGACTTACAGTAAGAACCATACAACTCTAGAATTGGACGACTCTTAAACTGAAGTGTGATTTCAGATAGTCCAATAAACATGAGGCACAATAATTGTTCACTGAATACAGGATTATTTCACTGAACATTGATTTAATAAATTATTAGTCAAACTTTGTGACTCGGAACAATATCAACTACACCTAAAAGTATTGCTTCAATGACGTCTTCATATTTCACAGTTTTTTGGTTTTCACTGTAGGATAGCTTAGAAACTAGTCAGGTTGTACCCGAGTAGAATCTTAGAGTCGGGAACCTAGTCTTAGGCGCCGGGCCGACTTTCTCCGACCCTCTGTTTTTGGAAAAAAATATCAAATTTCACCAAATATATGTAATATGAGCAAAAACCATTAAAATATTTGAGCATTCCTCTNGGCTTTTCAGCCTGACATAGTTTAGGCCTAACGTCGGGTATCACGACCAAATTTGAGCCATGAGTCCGGATTAACTCCTTCCACCGGCGAATTACCAAACAAACTATTTCTAGTATCAATTAAACTCATAATTCATTGTGGTAGTTAATTTGCAGAAGACAATCCATTTTTCAGGTTAGTTTTACCAATCCAGGGAACGGGGCTCAAATTGTTCCAAGGGGGGCTAACCCAAAATATTTTTGCCCATCGGGCACATTTTAACGCTCCCCCACCCCCGTACTAAATCCTGAATGCGCCTCTAAGTTAAGCCTAGAAACAATGCAGATTTTAAAAAATTCAGAAATCTATCAATATGTAAGCAAAAAAATCCTCGAACTTTAAGTTTTATGATATTTTAAGAAATGGCGACTTGAGAAGTAGAATTGTCCCCTCGATATATATTCTGGATGTTATATTTCAAGGGGTAATGACTAATAAGTACCTTGTCAAGTTTATGAAGATGTTCAGTTGATTCTTCTCTACTCTGTTCTTTCTCTGATGTAGGAATAATCTCATCATCTTTATCTTTAAGTGCATTAACTCCGTTACATGCAGTCCCTTCGTCCGAGGCTAAAACAAAAAATGTTTGAACAATTTTTAACTTAAAGAATTTTCATTAGCTTAAATCTAGACGGAAACTGTATATACTAACATATTTTTCTTTGTTCATTTCTAGATTTGTTCGCCGGGGGGGGGGGGGGTGTACTGTGAAAGGACATCGATGTTATTATAATTGTCTAATGTTTATATTCCGTGCGTAGAATAAGAAAAAGAATAAACATAAGTAGTTCCATCTCAAGATAAAAAAGTATCTACCTATAAAATGTATCTTCCTTTTAGATAAAGTTTTGAAGAGTCATCATAAAAGTTTGATTTTTTTAATTATTAAGAATAAGCAGTCGGAACTAAATTCAACTTTCCCCACCCTTCCCCTTCTTCAATGTAAAATAATATGAAAATGTTATGCGTCCAGAAAAATCAAGTTTCGACTCACCTATGCTCAAATTTGGAGAATCTGGTCTGTGAGGCTGCGCGACAAAATCAGAAAAGGAGAAAGGAGTCTTTCCACAGTTGTGTGCACTGACTTGAACTTTCAGGTCGTCACTGTTGGCATTTTCGCTACTTTTAGCTTCTTGGCTTGATTGTTTAATATTGTCGCTGGGTTCAGGGTTTGTATCAGCGTTCAGTTTAGTAGTGTTGGATTCAGGAGTAACCTCAGAGTTCTGTTCAGTAGTGTTGGGTTCAGGAGTAACCTCAGAGTTCTGTTCAGTAGTGTTGGGTTCAGGAGTAACCTCAGAGTTCTGTTCAGTAGCGTCTGGTTCAGGAGTAACCTCAGAATTATAGAGTTCTGTTCAGTAGTGTTGGGTTCAGGAGTAACCTCAGAGTTCTGTTCAGTAGTGTTGGGTTCAGGAGTAACCTCAGAGTTCTGTTCAGTAGCGTCTGGTTCAGGAGTAACCTCAGAATTATGTTTGGTAGTGTTGGGTTCAGGAGTAGCCTCAGAGTTCTGATCAGTAGTTTCTGGTTCAGGAGTAACCTCAGAGTTCTGTTCAGTAGTGTTGGGTTCAGGAGTAACCCCAGAGTCCTGTTCATTAGTTTCTGGTTCAGGAGTAGCCTCAGAGTTCTGTTCAGTAGTGTTGGGTTCAAGAGTAACCTCAGAGTTCTGTTCAGTAGTTTCTGGTATAGGAGTAACCTCAGAGTTCTGTTCAGTAGTGTTGGGTTCAGGAGTAACCTCAGAGTTCTGTTCAGTATTGCTGGGTTCAGGAGTAACCTCAGAGAAGTGATCAGTAGTGTTGGGTTCAGGAGTAACCGCAGAGTTTTGTTCAGTAGTGTTGGGTTCAGGAGTAACCTCAGAGTTTTGTTCAGTAGTGTTGGGTTCAGGAGTACTCTCAGAGTTCTGTTTAATAGTGTTGGGTTCAGGCGTAACCTCAGAGTTCTGTTTAATAGTGTTGGGTTCATGAGTAACCTCAGAGTTCTGATCAGTAGTTTCTGGTTCTTGAGTAACCTCAGAGTTCTGATCAGTATTGTTAGGTTCAGGAGTAACCTCAGGGTTCTTTTCAATATTCTGGAGTTCTTGTGTTTGTTCAAATATACTTGATTTAGTAGTAATAACTCGTTCAGAATCTTGTTCATTTTCTAATACTAGTTCTTCATGTGGAGCTTCAACATCATCTATCCTCACTGAGGTCCTTGGTTCAGAGACTAATTCATCTCCAGTAATTGCATTTGTATAATCATTAATATTAGCTTGGAGCTCTGTGCATTCATCCAATCTAAAATTAGAGGTTTCTAATTCTAACTCTTCCAAGTTATTTGGGGTTTCACCATAGCACGGGTTATTAAACTCTTTATCTTGGATAACACGTTCTATAGCAACAATAATGTCGTTTGATGAATTACTCATCGTTCTTTGTAGAGAAGATTTTATGGTAGAACTTTGTGTGTCTATTTTCTGATCAGAAGTTTCAGAATTCCAGTTCTCAGATTTTTCTTGGACATTTCTAAAAGAATGTTAGTGTAAAAACTTATCCAATTATTTTCAGATGGTGGAAGAGAGAGGAGGGGGTAATATGGTAAAAAACGGGAAAGAAGGAAAGAAGATATTAAAACATGTTTTCTAGATAAACTTGTTCTACAACCTAGTCCTGAACATAAATCTTCTAACTTTATAATCGGAATCTGGAAAACGATTTTTCTATTCTATAATTAATGAAAAAAGTAAAAAATTTAATCAGGATTTACTTTTCAGTGAAGAAGAAATTTTCCTTAAAACTAGATAAAGAGCTCAACCTTGAGACTGGATGTAGAGTTCTACCTTCAAACTGGATTAAGAAGAGTTCTACCTTGAGACTGGATAAAGAGTTCTACCTTGAGACTGTATGAAGAGTTCTACCTTGAGACTAGATGAAGAGTTTTACCTTGAGACTGGATGAAGAGTTCTACCTTGAAACTGGATTAAGAAGAGTTCTACCTTGTGACTGGATGAAGAGTTCTACCTTGAGACTGGATGAAGAGTTCTACCTTGAGACTAAATGAAGAGTTCTACCTTGAGACTAAATGAAGAGTTCTACCTTGAGACTAAATGAAGAGTTCTACATTTAGACTGATTTATGAAGAGTTCTATGTTGAGACTGGATGAAAAGTTTTACCATGAGACTGGAGGAAGAGTTCTATCTTAAGAATGGATTAAGAAGAGTTTAACCTTAAGACTGGATGAAGAGTTCTACATTTAGACTAGATGAAGAGTTCTACCTTGAGACTAGATGAAGAGTTCTACCTTGAGACTGGATGAAGAGTTCTACCTTGAGACTAGATGAAGAGTTCTACCTTGAGACTAGATGAAGAGTTCTACCTTGAAACTGGATGAAGAATTCTACCTTGAGACTGGATATAGAAGAGTTCTAACTTGAGACTGGATGAAGAGTTCTACCTTGAGACTGAATAAAGAGTTATACCTTGAGACCAGATTGAAGAGTTCTACCTTGAGACTAGATGAAGAGTTCTACCTTGAGACTAGATATAGAAGAGTTCTAACTTGAGACTGGATGAAGATTTCTACCTTAAGATTGGATTCAGAGGAGTTCTACCTTGAGACTTGATGAAGAGTTCTACCTTGAGAATAGAAGAAGAGTTCTACTTCAAGACTAAATGACGAGTTCTACCTTAAAACTGAATAAAGAGTTATATGTTGAGACTAGATGAAGAGTTCTACCTTGAGACTGGATTGAGACTGGAAGAAGAGTTCTACCTTGAGACTGGATGAAGAGTTCTACCTTGAGACTGGATGAAGAATTCTACCTTGAGACTGGATGAAGAGTTCTACCTTGAGACTAAATGAAGAGTTCTACCTTGAGACTGGATGAAGAATTCTACCTTGAGACTGGATTGAGAAGAGTTCTACCTTGAGACTGGATTATAAAGAGAATATATTTCTGCCAGGTTGAGAATAAGATCGTAAAGTTGAATGAACACAAGATGTGAGTTTGGTTCTCCAGGCTCCCCTTTCCTAAAGACAAGAATAAGTGAGAAGTTTTTAAACTTTATCCTGAGCTGGGGTGTAATCTAAATAATGAGTTTTCAAACTTTTTGATACTTTAAGTTTCCTCTAATAATGAAACAATGATAAACGCATTAGAAGAATATAAAAGAATATCTAATATCCATTGCTAAATAAAGTATCAGATTTATATTAAATTTTTTATTAAGCTTTTGCCTCTTGATAATTGAAAAATTGTGCAGATCAAATTAATAAATAATAAAGTATCAAAGAAAAATGTCGTTGTAGTTTTCAAGTTACACTTCAAAAAGAAAAGATAGATAATACAATTGTGGAGGATAACTAATAAATACATGTACAGTTTATTTTTAGCAAATAGAATATTTTTGTTTTTAGCAATTAATATCTAACAACTTTACAAAATTTATTATTTTGTTTCACCCTTTGCGTGATTTTAAATTGCAATTAATATTTGAGTTTTTTTTCTTCTTCAAACCTTCACTTTCTTGAACATAATTCTATAAATTTTACCAAGTATAAACAGGTAAAATAGTAAAATAGAAACAGTCGTTTTGTTACTTATATCTAACCTTCGGAAAATATTTCAAAAGTAAGACAATTTGGGTTCAAAATTAAGATCAGAATGTTTTGGATAGAATAATTTACTAATATTCTGTTCATAATTTTGAACAAAATATTGGTCATTTTGAAATGTTTCATAACTTTAAAAGAGTTAATATTTTTTGTACAGTTTGTACCTGTAATTTCTTCTGTTGTCCTGAATAAGCTGTTTAATATCTGTTGAGGTAAGGGAGTAAAGTTTTGTTTCAGATTTACAGAGAGATATAAGTAGATTTGCTCTAATTGCAACTCAATATTTTCCAACAATTAATCAATTAATCAGACTTGTAGGGACACCAGTTGAACACATCAAAATCTCATCAGAGCTGAAAACTTTAGAATGGTGGATATCCAGAGTAATGCTTAAACTCTTGGTTTTACTAAACCCAAGAATATGTTAATACACATTCAATATCCAAAAAAAAGATTAAAAATTTAACCAATTTAACCATCGTGTCATGTTAAGATGTACTTTTTAACTTTTGAAAAACCCGTTTTGATTTCTGGTGTTGATGTTGTTACATCAATTGAACTAAACATTGATTGAACGAACATTTTTTGGATTAATGTTTATTGAGAATAACGTTCAAAATGATAATAGTCCTAAAATATGTTTTTTTTTTAATAATTACATATTACCATTATTTGTTTAAATGCTCTAAAAGTCGGCTTGTGAACAGCTGACTTTAATTCAATCAGAAATTAGTTGGATCGATATAGCATTGTATCTGTAATTGTTATCAAACGTAACTTTTATACAGTAGAAATATCCAAAAGTAGGATTCTAAGAAGAAAATCAAAAGTGTGTACATTGGATAATCATATTAAGTGATCATGATTAAGGATATTTCATTCTAAAGTTTTCAGCTCAGGAAGTAAAGCAATCTGAGATTAAAAAAGAGTTCAAAATTTGCAAATGAAGTTGTTAACTCCGTTTAATGAGATTCTGCTTTCTCTATTTATGTATTCCTATTTTTTTTCTAAAAGGCTGAACTCTAAAAAGTCTGAGGAAAAAAGAATAAATTTATAAATCAAAATTTGTCATCAGCAAGTTTCTTTAAATGTTGATCGGCCATGAAAATTAATTTTTTGAGGTCAAATCACTATAATTCTGATTATTTTAGCCGGTTATACGTTCATAGTATACACCGACACCATAGTTTCATTGTGTATAAAGCATTCCAAAAAACGTTCGCCACTAATTTCCCCGTAGATTGATAGATAGATCCTGACGTTGTTACAATCTCTATTGGTCCTAAGTATTCACCAATCATGTGAGTGAACCTGATTGGCTTCGATGCTACTGGAAGTTTGAAACAGTGGTACCAAGAATCAAATATGGAGGCAAGTTAGATTATATTATTTGCATATACATGATGTTATTGAGTTTTTCCTAGTAGTCCAAGCTAGTACAGTTTGTGTGTACAAATTAGCTGCTGAGGGTAGATGTGCTACTTTCTGTACAAGAAACTTCAAGCCGGGCCTGTACAGTACAACAATGTTACGACCAATATTAAAACTTATAAATGGGTTCTAGTCTTTTTATAAATAGTTGAACTCAAGTCTAATAAAGCTTATATTTGAATAAACCTTATTTATAGTTAATTCTAAATTAACAACTCAATGGTTTTTTACATCTTAGTCAAAATTTTCCACTAAATTCTAAAAACTACTAGGTGCCTTATCGGAACTTTGTCCAGCCATATATAATAATTTACCTGGAGTAGATCTCCTGTGCTGCTGCTGCTGATTGTTTGTAAACAAGGATCAGGAGTTTACCTGGAGACGAACTCATGCACTGCTGCTGATGATTGTTTGTAAACAAGGATCAGTAGTTTACCTGGAGACAAACTCATGCACTGCTGCTGATGATTGTTTGTAAACAAGGATCAGGAGTTTACCTGGAGACTAACTCATGTACTGCTGCTGATGATTGTTTGTAAACAAGGATCAGGAGTTTACCTGGAGTCGAACTCATGTACTGCTGCTGCTGCTGATTGTTTGAGTACAAGGATTAGGAGTTTACCTGGAGAAGAAGTCATGTACTGCTGCTGCTGCTGCTGATAATTTGTTTACAAGGAACATCAGTTTACCTGGAGTCAAACTCCTGTGCTGCTGCTGCTGATTGTTTGAGTACAAGAATCAGAAGTTTTGCTTGTTCTGTCTTTATCTTAAACCCAGCAGCTTCTATAAAAAAACACAATAAAAATGGTAAATACAAAAGGAAGGCCTAAATCTGATTCTTACTTCTCATGATGTTTAATAGTTACATTTTTTTTTAATGAAATTCCTGATTTCTGGTTTTTATTAACGTAAAGATAGTCTTTTCCACAAACTCAGATAATCTGAACCCCATAACTTTGCAACCCAATGTTGTAGACCTTAGATATTTCAATCTTTGAATTCGGTTGGATCAAATAATCTAATTTAAATGTAAATGCTAAGCATCAAAAGCTGACAAACAAGAGCAAAAAAATAGTGTACAAATTGGAAAAAAGAAAAATATTTTCCATTTTGCAAATATTAAAAAAGAAAATGTGTTATTATTAGCAGAAAATATCAAATATCTCCACAAATTTGATATTTTACATAAATCTTCATTTAATATAAATTATTACTTCAAAGTTTAAATTATAATTTACTGGGGCATAACTTGGCTCCCAATTATTATTTGCATAATTTGGAGAAACTTTCCAATTAAATTTATATATTCAACATTTTCTAGGTTTTCAGATTCTTATAAACTTCAAGATACCTGTACCTGTACCTGTACCTGTACCTGTACCTGTACCTGTACCTGTACCTGTACCTGTACCTGTACCTGTACCTGTACCTGTACCTGTACCTGTACCTGTACCTGTACCTGTGATATCTTGAATGATGTTAATGAGAATATTATGAGCGATAAGACTCGTGACTAGACTCCTCATTGTTACTCGGATAGTAAGAGAGTCTTCTTTCTTGATCTGTTGGCCCTAGGTTGGTTAATGATAATTATAATAGGAATGGATACGCAGTACGCGCATCAAATTCACATATGTTTTGCGATAAGTAAGGAATTAATTGGAAGCTAGATTGTCAGGTAATCTGTGGCAGGGTGGGATTAGAGGCATTAAGGAAGAGATAAATTAAAATACAAGGTGTAGAGGATGGTGGAGATAATAGCTAATAAAGTTACATGTTTTCTTATATTATCTACTCACATAATATACAACTAGTTTTTTGCATTTAAACTTTCATAATTCTCAAGATAGATATTGACTACCCTTTGTATAAATATTTTTGCAGATTTAGTTTCTAAATATATATATTTGCTTGGAGAGTAAACTTTCTGTTTAAAAAACAAATCTACCCACTCAATTTAGACATTTTAAACCAGGCTTATATCACTTCAAACGAGTTCCTCAGTCAAAATTTGAGGCAAATCAGTGAAGGGATTCCTAAGTTATGATGGAACGTACAAACAAACCAATAGTGATTACTGATATATATATATATATATATATATATATATATATATATCAATAAACCTTTATCTAAATGAACCCAGTATTGCATAAAGTTTATTTTCATCGAGAATTCAAATTTTATACCTTTATATTCTGCGATGAAGTTGCTGCATAGTTTGGCTCCAATAAAAACAAATAAGACCTAAATTTTTTTTTTATATTTCATAACCAAAATATCTTTAAACTGTCTAGCTTGTAAAGCAAAATATTTTTGACATTATAAACACATCTTTACAGCCATTTACCGTTTTAATAAAATAAACTCTAGCAGACATAATAATATTATGACTTTTGAAATTAGGTATTGTAATGCTAATTCATAACAATGACGATCTTCAATTCACACCCTGTACCTTTAAAATCATAATTATTCAAATAAAGTTATCAAAAGTTATGCAAAGATAGCAATGCCAGATTCACAACAGTACCCTTAAATTATTCATCTGATTAATAGTTTACCTATCCTCATCATCAGGGTTTCCGGGGATATTTTCCCCTGAATCCCGCTGCTCTTCCAACAGTAAAACTTGGTGAGCCAGCTGATTAATCCTTAATATAAACATACTAGCTAGTAACTAATTAATTCTTAAAAAATGTAAATAAAAATATAAAATTCATGTTGTAAGCCTGGTTAACTTTTAATTTAAAAAAAAACAAGTTTATGTCTTATAAGATAGAAATTTAAGCCAAAATAATAAAAGAGTTAAAAGACTAAAATTGTTAAAATTTATTTTAAAATTTCGTCACAAAGTTTTATTTTCAAAACATTTTTGTTCGAAATCAGGATGTTTTTTCTATACACATACACAATTCAACAAACTGAACTCTTGCCACTAACTTATAGATCTTCTAATCCTTTAATCCTTGCAACATAAGGGTGTAAACCTTTGATATTAAAAAGTTGGATTATACTTAATCAAACATGTAATACATAGTTGGAAATATCAAACATATAATACATAGTTGGAAATATCAAACATATAATACATAGTTGGAAATATCAAACATATGATACATAGTTGGAAATATCAAATATATAATACATAGTTGGAAATATCAAACATATAATACATAGTTGGAAATATCAAACATATAATACATAGTTGGAAATATCAAACATATAATACATAGTTGGAAATATCGAAGCTCTATGAAGTCAGGTTGCAAAGATAAATGGAATTCAAAAATCACAGTATGTGAAAAAGATAATTGAAAAAAAAACTTAATCATTTGCTTGATTGTTTTAGGTCAAATAGGTCGCTGTCCGAGGGTCACCTGTTTGAATCTTTGAGAGTAGAATCCCTCCGAGCTGCAATCTTAACAGAACCTACATCTCCATAAAACCTAGAGGATCCAGGCTTGAAGCTAGCCATTAGTTGGTGTACAGGGTACAGGGTCAACTGCAATATAGACTCTACAGTTTATCAATATCTCTATAGAACCTAGAGAATCCAGGCTGGAAGCTGGCCATCAGCTGGTGTACAGGGTACAGGGTCAATTACAATATAGACTCTACATTTTATTAATATCTCAATAGAACCCAGAGGATCTGGGCTGGAAGCAGGCCATCAGCCGGTGTACAGAGCCGTAGAGTAGAGCCAAACAGATTGGCAAGTATTTACAAAGAGTCTGAAGAAGGAAGATTAACTAGTCGTAGGAGGCAAATGAAAGGCGGAGAGTCCATCAGAGATCTCCGGCTTTTTATTATTAATTAGTATCATTTTTATTTGTTCATTTTTTGCTTGTAATTACATTTTCCTATTCTGTGTAGATTTACTCACATCAGTTTTCAGGCTTTAGATTTCCTGTAGTTCATAGCACTTTTAAATGGTAACACTAATCCCTTTATGTTTGCAACCTGATAGTGGAAACCTTTGATATTTCAAATTGTTTGATCTGACAGAATTAATTGTTGGTAATAACAAAAGTGTATGTCATCAGGTTGCAGATACATAGGGATTAAAAATTCATGTTTGTGGCAAAAACTCAGATTCTTCATGTTTGATATAAAACTAAGTTATTTGACATTATTTGACTAATCTATTCATCCTTAATATAACCTTTCAGATAATATTCAAAATAAAGTGATATTTAACATGATTTGAATTGTGAAAATTTTACAAAACTGTTCAGTTTCAAATTTTGTAAAATTAAATTAAAATGTTTATATTTTGGATTATTGTCCCAGTTTCGGTGAAGCATTAATTTTTTTTTATACTTAAAGGAACTTTTGTTGTAATTCAAAGTTGCCCTTCAATTAAAGAGAGTGATGCCCCATGCCCATTGCCCGATTGAATCTATATCGGGTGATTATAAATATGGAAAATATCGGCGACGTTTTAGTTGGAAATTTGATTTTTCATGGCCATTTCTGAAACAGCAACAGGCAATTCACTTTTGTCGAACCCACAATTGAAAATCACAATTTAAAAGTTAAAATCATGGATGAACATGATGAATTTTGATGATGCAAAACTTTAAAGGGTATGTTGTAAATCGCACACAAATTACGTTTGGTGTCCCATTATAGATGAAAACAGTTAAACATGAATTAGACTGCTCACTAATCAAACACTTTATTTGTAAATGACAAATATTAAATTTTTATCAATTTAATTTTTAGTTAGACTCTATTTATATCTTTTCATATATGGCTAAATACTGAAATACAACCGCACTTTTAATATATGTATATGTAATTATGTNGTGGTCTGTATTTTACCTGCAGAGATCTGCAGAGGCTTAGGATGACAAGTTCCCATTCAGATTCTTCAAAATATTCACCCTGAACAAAACAATCAAACTTTTATAAAATATTTTGCCTAGATATTTTGTAAAATAGGAACATATTGGAAAATCATGTAAAGTTTCATTGACATCTTTCACAATTAAACTTTACTATAAAAGTTTTTTTTGATTTGGTAAAATTTCGATGGAGATCTAATTTTTTAGATTGATCATAACACTCTTAAAATTTAAAAAAGCATTTTTTTGATTTTTTAAAATTTAGTTTACAATAAAAAGCTTAGATAATGTTTCCTAAAATGTAAATTAATGACCTGACTCTGAATAAGATGTTTGAAACATGAACAGCTGAATCTGAAGGAAGCAAATATATAAAGTTCAGGGTCTTTTATGTTTAACACTTAAGTATTGGGTCAAATCTTCGTCTTCGTCAAAGACCCCCTAATTATTCTAATGGAGCTACCCTTGCTGACAAAGAAATCAAAGAAAAACAGTTTATATAGAGAGAGTAGTTTGAAACCGGTCATCCAAAGGATATCAAATATCAATATATTGACCCCCAAGCTTTTCACTGAAGACCTTTCAGATGTTAGTTGGAGACCTAAAGGAGGCACTTAGGTTTTTATTGCAGACACTTAGATTTTCATTGGAGACCCTGGAATTTCATTAGAATGTCATTTGTATGAGATCTCTTATTTTCATCTGAGACAATTGATTTTTTTCTTGACATCCCAAAAATGATTTTTCTAAGAATCTAATATTTTGATAGAATTATCAAATATGGTATTCTTGGAAATACTTTGTAAATATTTAACTTCCCTGGCAATATGTTCGTTGGAAACTACAGTGCACTCTACCAAAACAATAACAAGCTGTTTTAGCATTAGGTAACTTCCAGATCTAAAACAATCAATTTATTATTTTATACAAATTTTTCATCTGTAATCCTTTAACATGTATTATTACTATAATTACTATTACTATTATTATTATTATTATTATTATTATTATTAATACTAATTACTATTAATACTATTACTATTAATACTATTATCATTATTATTATATGTTAAATAATGTTTCTGATCGATGAACACCAATTAGCAGTCTGTAGCTCAAAAATTAATTAAGTTATGGCAGTTTGAAGTTTGCCATATTAGCTTGGTTGAGTTCATAACTTTCTTATCTTTCTTTTCAAACATTTAATGTGATTCCATTAGGGTCTCAACATAGGAAAATCCTATAAAAAGATCCTAAATCCCCCATACACCAAAAACTAGAGATCTGATTCTAAATGAATTAACAGTTTAACTTTAGAGGTAAATCATTGATTTTGTGCTAAACAATGGAGTACATTTAAATAAAAATATGTTTGAAATAATATGAAATTCATTTGTATCAACATTTTTAGTACTTTTTTATTTTTGTTACTCCTTAACATTTAAATATATTGAAAAATGGGAAACTTTGAAATAATATGGACTATGGAGCTGTTGAACTTACATTGGTAACCTTTTAAGTTTTATCGGAATTTTTATGAACAATTTAAAGATGTTAATGAAAAAATTAACAATGATCAGAGCTGTTGTAACTTAAAAAGACTTTTTATTGGGACACCCCCTGTAGTTGTACACAATTTTGTATCCCCTTTTGAGATGAAAATGTTTACACAAAAAGTCTTTTGCCAGGTAAAAGTGGATTCTCTGTATTTTAGATATCTTTTACATGTTTCTGAATTACATTTACCTGATATCAAACCTGTTATCCTCCCTAGTACTATTTAGAACATCAAGAACAAGATCTACTGTTAAACCAAGAGTCTGTTTCATCCCAGCACCTGATCTCTCCCAACCTTCAAGAAATGACATATTTAAAACATGTCATTAGTTACACATTTTTGTCATTCTTAAAGAAAAGTTGTAACCAAAGGATGGCAAAAAATGTGAAAGAAAAATTCTTCTAGAAAATTTCAAAGGACTATCTTAGTTAGTGTTTATTTTGGTTTTGAAACAAAAAAGACAGCAAAAATATGTTGTTTTTAAATAGTTGATTTAGATTTTTTTTAAATATGTTAATTAAAATTTTAACCACCATTCTGAAATGCTTTGCTTTAACGACTGATTTAAGTGAATTCTAACATTTTTAAAACTATACCTTGAAAGAGTTTTTCGGTAGCCCTGGTCCAATTTTGTATTGCAGGCAGTAGAAGATGGTTTATACAGAATAGTCCAAAACTAAACAATTGGATTGAAGGTTGAAGATATGAAGATAAACAATCCGAGTCTAAAACTAAAGAATGCGCGAATTTTAAATTTGAGGTTAAAAATTCTGTAAAATAATGAGTAGCTACTTTAAATATTAAACTTTCTCAATTTTAAATTTGAATTTCCCGGAAAAAATCTGAACCAATCAGAGAAAAGAACTTACAGAGAATTATTACGTAACAATGGGTAATCAGCTCTTTTTAAAATTTCAAATTATTTACGTGATTGAAAACAAAACATATTTCCAGTTACAACTGTATTTGGGTTTATGTGCAAACATTAATTAATCTAAAACATGAAATTTATTAAATCAGGGTTTTTACTTTTAAATATATCGTAATTAGTCAGTTGCCTGCTTTCTCTCTAGCAGAACGGACCTACTATGCAGTCCCAGAATTGCAGCTGGGGAAGCGCTGTGTTTAGTTACGCATCTAGTATCCTACAGGGGAAGCAAGAATTGTACATAGATTAAAACAAAACTTCATCTTCAGCTTGGTTCACTGAACAAGGAGTTTAACCCTTCGTGGGAATACAAGCCATGCACAACGATACCGGTTTTTTACTCGACCAGATGTGAGGACTGGACTGCCATGGAAGATACCTCTCAATAGAGCCTTCAGGGATCACAACTCCCCATTTTGCATATGGGGTGCAGTTATGGGTAAATTCCTTAATTCCCCTAACTGGGAAACAGTATAAAATGAAGGAACACAGGGAGAAATCCCCTATACCCTTCTTCCTACAAACCTCCTCATCTCTCTCCTACCTGCTCTACAACTCGATGTTAAAAGAACTATTTGGAAAGGCCTTAAAGTGTAAAAACAAGAAACAAGAAGCAAGAAGAAAAAATAAATTGAACAGAAAAAAGTGGAAGGGAAATCTCTTGACAGTAGAGATGGGTGCTTAAAGCAAGATAAACAAGAAAGAAGAAGAAAACTTTAGAGATAAAAAAACTGGAAAATGTGTAAAATGCCCCCCTCACCCCTCTCCCCCTCCATCAAGAAAATTGTATTGAAAGTGTGTTAGCTAGGAATGCAGGACTCGACACAGTATCATGACTGAAGCAAAATTTAAATATAAACAAGGGGAAGAGTAACCTTGTCACTCTCAATATATAGAATATAGATGCAGGGCTTCAAAAAATAGTTCTACCTCTGCAATTTGGCTATCTGCAGAAAACATCCAAAAAATTCATTTATTTTTATTTTTAAAATTAGCCATAGTGTGATTGAAGGATGGACAAGGAATGGAAGATCAAGAAGAAAGGATTAAAAACAAGAAATATAGAAGTCTCAAAATGTTTCCATCTGAAATCATATTAAAATTTAAAAATATTGTAAAATAAAATAAAATAAATTATTAAAGTTAAAATATCATAATTAGTTGAATGCTGCTTACCGCTGAATGATGATAGACAAATATGGGATTGCAGGATTTCAAGATTTTAACCCTGTGTTTAAATTTTAACTTGTCAATTTTGGCGAGTTAAATATTTAACCACAGGGTTAAATATTTAACCTCACGGTTAAAGTTCAGGTTTAAATTAAGTCAGAAGTGGCATTTAACCAAGAACTTAAAATTTAAGTCAAAACTTTTGGTTCTTTAGTTTTAGACTCCATTCACAATAAATAAACAGGAAAGTAAACAAACATATTAATATAGCATATAAACTTTGTAGATCAAAGATCAGACTGTGGGGTTTTATATAGATATATATATTTTATAGAAATAATTGTTTCTTATGAGTTTAAAATGTTTATTTTCAAGGACAAGGTCTTTTTTGTTCAATCAGGGAAAATTCTTGATTCCAAAAATAAAATATTGGTTTAAGTGTTTAAAGTAGTGATTGCCAATTTTATAATATTCATTCTCTCCTTTCTCCTAAATCTACAGAAACCCATTAATTAAAAAACAAATCAGTACATTATTGCTTTTAATGTCCAATGATCTGTATTGCAAAATGTGGAGTTTAAACATTTACAAATTTATTCAATTCCAAAACAGGTTTGAGCTTGAGCCAAATATAATTTTTTACACCAGTTCAAATTAAACAAATTCATTACTTTTTAATGAATTTTATATTGATAACTTTGGTCATTGATGAATTATCATTTTGTGTTCTAAAATAATTTTTTTACCTGATAAACTCAGAACATTTCATGGAATCCATCAGAGTAAAGAAAGTATTGATAGTCTCAGCTTGACTAGATTTTTTCATTCAAAAGTTTTCAAAAGTTTTGTCTCTTCTTGCAAGTTTGTGTTTGTTGATTAGAATCGGAAAGTCGTAACCAAAAAGTTTAAACTTATAGAAATTTTCAAAGTTAACTTTTATGTTAAAAATCATAGCAGTATTGATTATTACTTGGTTAATTTCTTTGCTTAGAAATTTTTTTTAACAATTTTTTCTAAATCCATGTTAACCAATCTAGAGTAACTTATTTAGATTCAAATAGACTATTAAGTAAAGTAGGTGGCAACAGAGAAATAGACCGATTATACAGGACGTCACAAGCTTCAACTATAACAAGGAAAACAACATTTTCTCACATTTCTTGACATGTTTTCCAAGATTAAATAAAAAAGTTTTAAAACAGAAAAAAGTACAAATTAAATTGCACTTATTTTACTGTTAGATAAGAACTTAATTCTAAAATTATCACTAAGTTAACTAAGTTGACACTTGTGACGTAAGTACACAGATGTAATTAGAGTGTTCAAATTCTACGTTGCCATCTATTGTACTAGAATGTATTTGATTCAAAAAGATGATCAAATAGAATAAGTGGCAACAGATAATTGGACCAATTAAGCATACATCACAAGTGTCAAATATAACAAAGAAGACAACATTTTCTTTCAGTGGTTAATAAGTATTCCAAATTTAAATAAAAACGTGTAAGAACACAAAATTGCACTTATATCAATGTAAGATAAGCAACTTAATATCACTATTATTAATAACTTAGGCGGACACCTAAAACTGTTGAAACTTGTAACGTAAGCAATGCTGAGAGTGTAGGATTTTTATGTTGTCTTCTCAAGTTGCCGTTGTACTGGAATCTATTTGGTTAGATGTACTGCTCATAGCAAATAAAAAAAAATAGAGGTCATGGTTTTTGGTTAAATAATTGTTTGTCCTACACATAATTTTTCCTATTCATCTTTTGTCCTACAGTAATGTTTTAAAAGTTTAATTTGAAAATAGAACATCCGTAAAACAATTTCCCAAGTTTACTTGAGATCTGATTATAGAAAACATGTAAAAAGAGAGGGGGAACAAATGAAAATCAAATTATATTAACCTCTCTCCGTAGGACAAAAGTGGTGTAGGACATATAAAGAGTAGGAATAATGAAGTGTAGGAAAAATGAGGTGTAGGACAAATAACATTTATCTGTAACTGTTCAATAAATAACATGTAACACATATTCTGTAAGGATAGACAATTGATTTGTTATAGCATAATGGACAATAGGACAAATAACATATAAAGTTTAATAAATGAATAATTTCCTGGATAAAGGGCAGGAGGATAAAGCAGATACTAAACCATCCAGCAGGATAAACCAAACTCTTATCAAACCACTCCTAGATCAAAACCATGGTTAGAGAAGACATTCTAATGTTGTGTTTGATTTATTGAAAATTGTCAAAGATCAATCTATTAAACATTCTGTTAGAAAAGGGTTTACTGCAGTACACAAATGAAATATGTCTTATTGTCCCTCTGTACATCCCATTGGTTGGTTATTTTAAATTCAACCAATCAGATATTTTGTATACTTTATATCTATTGAATCAAGCTTTTCGCTTAAATAAAGATGTTATTAGCTTTAGCTGGCCAAACGGCTGGGTCAACTTAGCTGAATTGTTTTGAAGATATTTTTGTTTCATTCAAAACTTGTTTTTAACATCTTAATTTCTGTTTTTAGCGTTTTTAAAATTCCACGGCAACACCGGGCGCTTTATCTATTATAAATACATCTGCCATGATGTCAGTATTAATTCTAGTGATAATAAATGTAATTATAAAATCTAATTTTAGGTTTTTAGGTTGTAATTTTTCTTTCTCTAGTTTTCAACATAAGTTTAGTAAAATATTGTATGTTAAAGGGACTGTAAAGGAAAAATTAAAGAGGGGATAGACTGAAACCTGTTAATCTCAGGAGTTGAATCTCAGGAATCTTATATATACGTTTCGGTATAATTTTGACACAGTTTTTTTTATAAATTTCTCAGAGACAGTAACATCAGATAGATGTCTTATAGGTATCGTTCAACTCCTGAAATCCTCAAGTTTCAGTCTATACCTCCTTTCATTTTTCCTTTCAATACAATTTTAAATATTTGTACTATAGTAAGCCCCTCGAGTTTTCAAAACAAAATAAGTTTGAAATTATTTCTCCAAGTTTAATATAATTTAATATTTCTGGAAAATGGATGAATTTCTAAACCTTGTTATAGAATTGAAATATTGAAGAGATTTCATATTTTATTTGAACAAGAGTATTTAAACGGATTAACTCCAATTTTCTAAAATAAGCTTTTTTTCAATTATTTGGGACTTAATTCACTTTACAGAAGAGAGTGGGGGTAATTTTATCCCCCCCCCCCTCTATATGTAAGACCCTAGATCCATACACTCTTAGATCTCAAAAGCTGTCCGGCTAGCACAAACAATTATCCAAGTTTTAAATATTAAATCAATGCAGAATGCCAAGATATTTTCTTTATGTAGTATTTAACTGTTAACTTAATTCTAAATTCTTTCATTAAAACTGTTAAGGCTCTGGAGTCGGGACCAAAATAAATAGATCTTGTAAAAAATCGTTTAAAGTTGATTGCTAGCATATTTTTGTTTCGTAATGTGCCATTCGATGCTATGCATGTATAGTTTTTTTTTGCAACGTTTACAACAATTGCGGAAATTTTGAGGTGTCAACTCATCGCAATTGACTTAAAGTTGTGTTTCGGAATATATTTTTGATGTCCCTGACAAGAGAAGTAACCTCTTCGAAGGGCTAACATTTTCTCGTCCAAGGGGGTCATCCCCCCCCTATTTAAAGTGCACACCCCTGGACTCCCTGAAAATAATCTTAAGGAGATACTTTCATTATTGGAGAACCCCTATAGTGCAGAGTAAATTGGGTTTCGCAGCACAGTAATATGATTACTAGAGTATACCACTCTAAACTTTACATCCAGGGAAAGGGGAAAGGGCTGGGCAGTGAGCAAAGTCCCCCCCCTCCTCCCATATTTATGCTTTCTTGTCTGAGTGTCAAGGTGTTTATTTGTATTGTATCCAATAAGCATCAAATGGCTAAAATAGTTAGGAAGGTTTCTGGATAATCTGAATTTAAAAAAATTCGATTATTGTAAAATTGTGTTTCAATAAATATTCCCTAGACCGGGGTCATACAAAGTCTCACCCAGACAATTAAAGTATATACCGCGAAACCCTTAATAACGAATACATCGGAAGAATTTGTCAAATGCCGTATTGACAATTTTTTAATGAGTTTTATATTACATTACGTAAATTTCAGTATTTGCGAAAATAAATAAATAGCCATGAATATGAGGGAACAGTTTTAAAGAGTTCCATATAATCATTTAATTAAAAACTAAATATCTGCAACATTCCTTATCAGAAAGTGAAGAATACGACATTTGATGAATTCTTTCGATGTATTCGTTAATAAGGTGCAAAGCACTCTGGAAGTCCAGTATTGTAGATGGTGGGATGGCGTAGTTTGTGCAAATATAGAATTCTAAATTTTGAATTTTGATATTTTCTTTATTTTCAGAATCAATTAAAGAAATAGGTTATTTAGATTTGCAGCAAAAAGTATTAATTTACACAATTGTTTAGATTTCCATGTTAAAAAGTCAACGAATCTCCTGAGTTTCCCCTTTTTCTTGATTTAGGATAATTTTCTCCAACTATTTCTTGTTAAGGAGTTGTGTGTAGACTGTAATGCTCGTGTGTAAATATTTGCACACAAATATTGACCTCACGAAATTAGTATGTACTGGGTTTTTATAAAAAGCTGAAAGTAGTTGAATTGCTTATATGCAGTTGAACTATATGTAATCGAATTAGAATTACTTGTACATATTTAAACTACTTGTACGTAGTTGAACTACTTATACGTAGTTCAACTACTTGTACGTAGTTGAACTACTTGTACATAGTTGAACTAATCGTAAATAGTTGCACTACTTTAACGTGGTTGAACTAATTATTCGTTGTTGAATTACTTATACGTACTACGTAGTTGAGCTACTTAAACATAGTTGAACTACTTATTATTAGTTGAACTACTTATTATTAGTTGAACTTCTTATACGTAATTGAACTACTTATACGTAGTTGAACTACATAAACATAATTGAACTACTTATACGTAATTGAACTACTTATACATTATTGAACTACTTATACGTAGTTTAACTACTTAAACGTAATTGAACTACTTATACGTAGTTGAACTACTGATACGTAGTTGAACTAATTATACGTAGTTGAACTACTTATAGGTCGTTGAACTATTAAGTCGTAGTTGAATTGCATGGATGTAGTCTAACCACTTCTCTTGTTATCACTCTTTAGATTTGAGAGAAGTGGTTAAACAAGGTCTAAGCTTAATATTAAACTCAAACCACCTGGAAGGGTTTATGTCCCAGAACAACGTGGTTCAACTACTCATCGCAATTCTATAATTTGTGTCCCATTTTATTGTTCTTTTCCTTACACGGAAGTTTAAGGAAAGGGTTCTCTGAATCATCTCGTTTAGTCACTTTTAAGCAAAATAATATTTTGGAAAATCAACATGGCATTTGAAAGTTATATTGTAGAGTCACAAAAGGCATAAACAATGAATTAGGGTCGATAATCCATGCTGTTTTTTTTCTTCTTGATGAGTTCTTATTAATAGAATTTTCGATTCCAATTTTGAATAAAAATACATAAACTAACAAGAATCAACGTTGTACAACCAAAAGCTGAGAATTTCGCTATGAAAATTATTTAAATTTAAGAAGAATCGGTTCTGTCCTAGAGAACGATTTTTAAAATAGTCGAGTAAAAGAATATTTAATTTATTTTAAATCAAAAATGGGTTTGAAGGGTAATTCAGACACTTTATAATTGACAGGTTACCTTTAACCTATATTTAAGACGACATTTAGAAAGGATACGACTATAGGGACAACTTAAAACTATAAATACAATAATTTAAAGGGTTTATTTGGATATTTGCCCTGGTGCAGTCTTTAAATGATATTTAAAGGTTTTAGCATAAAACAAAATCAATTTTATAGTTGCAGGGAAGCATAAATGTAAAAAAAAATACTGAATAAATTCCGTATTATTGTCTCTGAAGTCTCATTTTTTGTGGGTAACCCTGTATTTACCTGTGCAGAAAGGAGAGGGTGGAAGATACTTGTGTTTCTAAAGTTGAAAATGAGAAGGGAAAATCTAGCAGAGTATCTGTTTCTGGGTCAAAACTAACAACCTTAGTTCCAAGAATGATTTAGTTAAGAATTAAACAAAAGAAAATTTCGACGAATCGCAGTTTTAATTTATTAAAAACCAAAAAATACTGGCAACGCAATTAACTTTATTGATGCAAGTTTTCTTTTGCGAAATAAAAGTTCAGTTCAAGTAATGGTGGCCAAGACGTTTGCAAAAGAACGGCAAGCTTGTTTCTAGCTTCATATTAAAACAATGAATTTTTAAAATCCTGTAAGATTAAAGATTACTTCGTAACAATTTCCTTAATCCGTTCATGAACTGTTATTATAAAATCGTCTTTTTTACTGTAAGTTTCATGTAATTTTAATTTCACAAAATTAGAATTTATTTTATAAACCGTAATTCTTTCTAGAACGGCAATTTCTGTTCGTTAACGATGTCAAAATTATTAGTTTTTGTCGTTCGTTAGCTGAATTTGGCCTGGTCCTAATATTGGTCCGTTCGTTAGCTGAATTTGGCCTTGTCCTAATGTTGGTCCGTTCGTTAGCTGAATTTGGCCTTGTCCTAATGTTGGTCCGTTCGTTAGCTGAATTTGGCCTGGTCCTAATGTTGGTTTACTGCATTGAAAACTCCGATTTATTTGAAGTACAGGTCTGACTATTAACCAGCTAAACAAGTTTTGTACAATAAACAAACTATACAGTATATAATATATACATACAGCTTATTGACAGTAAACGAACCATTATGTACACGGACACCATATGAATCATCACCCTTTACAGCGATGAAAGGGTGTTCAAAAAACCAAACACTTCCCACTTTATTCTTTCAGAGGAGTAATATTTACCAGATCTTGATGAAATTAATATTACAATTTATCTCTAGGATGTTAGGACAACTAGTTAAAATTGGGGCATATTAAAAATAAGGTTACAAGGAAGAAATGGAAAATATCTCTGTCAAGTGTCAACTGAAGCACAGTGAGGTGGGATAAGGAACTGCCGTGTAGGCTTGTCAGTTCAGTCCCCAAGAGGCAGGGCAGGGCAGGGTTAACCAAGAGGCAGGGCAGGGCAGGGTTAACCAAGAGGCAGGGCAGGGCAGGGTTAACCAAGAGGCAGGGCAGGGCAGGGTTAACGAAATCCGATAATTTTTTTCATGAAGTCCAAACACCCAACAGACATTGTAATATTGAATTCATTATGATCGTGTACAAATTAGGCCTCTGAGAGAAAACAGTGTAAAGTTTTTTTTTTAAAACCCTTTAATTGACAAGATCATTTTTGCCTGTATGTGCAGTAAAGTTGAGCTGACAGTTATTGGTTGGTTTCCCATGTTTATCCTAAAATAAAACCATTTTTCTTCAAACTGAATGAAACATTTTTTCGGCTAAAATCTTGAACATTTGGGATAAATAAATAAAAAAGCGGAATGATTGTCGTCTTCAAGTGTTCTTCTAACCATGAAACCATAACAACATTAGACTTTTTTAAATTTCTAACTAAAAATAAGTTAAAAAGTGTAAAAATAAAAATCATTTTCAAAATTTTTATTATTATGATCAAAGAATTAACAAAGAAGGAAATTATTCTATCATTTTTTGTTATTACTGTTTATCTTTTTTTCAAAAATATATTATTAAAAAAATAGAAGATTTGTTTTCCCATTGTTTTCTAATTAATGACTAAAGGGCGGAGTATACTTATAAAAAACTTTGAAAATAATATAAACTTTGTAAAAAAAAATACTTTTGGGATCCCCAGAATACTGGACAAGCAGGCATGAGGTACATCTTGGCCAGGATAGAATGACATCTTATAATATATCCTAAATATGGTTAATTTAATATATTCAATATGTAATATATCCTTATAATGAATAATATAAACTTAATATGGTTAATTTAATATATTCAATTTGTAATATATCCTTATAATGAATAATATACACTTAATATGGTTAATATAATCATTTAAGTAATCCTTAAAATAGAGTAAATATTATAGGTAATATTGCAGAAAATATCCTACTCCATAAACTGCTCTCGAACTCGTATCTATCCAGGTACAATTCAGTTGCACTTAGCTATCTATGTCTAAACCCGGTTACAATCTTGTAACCTATCAATACCAAACAATAGGAGAGAATCGTCAGCTATGGATGTCAACAAGGACACTAGCTATTACTCGAACAATGTCAAACCACTGGACTCTTCTCATGAACTATCATTTTCAACCAGAAACTAGCAGGTATTCTATCAATGCCAATTCAATGGGCACAATCTAATGAGCCATTGATGTCAAAGGAAACTCGCTTGAATCAATGCCAAACCAACGGGCAGGATCTCAGCTTGTTGTTTCAACGAGAACTTGTCAGCTATTGATGTCAACACATACACTAGCTAGTAATCAATCAACGCCAAACCAATGTGCTTGATCAGTTATCAATATCCTGCATGGACACAAGCACACACCTATCAATGCCAAACCAATGGACACGATCCTCAACCTATTTATAAAAACATAGAACAATTACTCTCTCGCAGTAATCAGTTCGGAGTCTCTATATTAACTCATGTGCTTGAGGTTTATATGTTACAAGTTAAAGTTAATAGACATAATTTCAATTCCTACATCGTTGTCTATATTACATATTACAGCGTGGAAAAAGGCGCAATTAAGATGTATGTCATAATGTATATCACATGATTAAGCTATTCATGCTACAAATTTATTAGAAGCCCTGTTCAATAGAATAATGGGTTTCACGTAGAAGTTTAAAAATGTAGATAGTTAATAATGTGCAAGGTACTTCAGAATTACAGAATATTGTGTCACCCGCTTTTTATTACAATATATCCTAAACATGGAAAGTATAACCTTCAGATGGTTAATAAATCAAAGATAATATGTCCTAAACATGGATAATATATCCTTTAAATGAATGATAAATCATAAATATTTAATCCTTAACATGGATAATATATACCAAACAAAGATAATATATCCTAAACATGGATGAAATATCAAACAAGGATAATATATCCAAAACATAAAAAATATATCTTAAACATGGATTGTATACCAAACATGTATAATATATCTTAAACATGGATACTGTATACCAAACAAGGATAATATATCCCAAACATGGATAATATATCCCAAACATGGATAATATATCCCTATGCATGGATAATATATCTTAAACATGAATAATATATACCCTACAAGGATAATAGATCACAAACATGGATAATATATCCCAAACATGGATAATATATCCCAAACATGGATAATATATCCCAAACATGGAAAATATATACCAACATGGATAATATTTCTTAGCATAGCTAATATATCCCAAACATGGATATTCCAAGCATGGATAAAATATCCTGAACATGGATAATGTAATCGGTGTGAGCTCAATAACTTGGAATAGGGATAGTTCCATTGATGTAGACCCCTCAGTTCTCATATGAACCCAGAGCTAAACTCAGATTGGATAGTTCCATTGATGTAACCCCTTTAGTCCTCATATAGACCTGGAGCTTAGCTTAGCTTGCAAGTTGTCTGGCTTATAAACATGACAACATAATAGAACTTTTGTATATAGCTATAAGTCAGACAGAAAGTGGTGCGTATGCTAAGTTGCCAATGTGGAGATTTATTTGTCGTTAGAAAATGCCAACCCAGATAATATGCTTTGAATGTATAATGGTTGAACGCGTGTAAAACTGAAGCCACCGTTGCACCAGATTCTAGTTTAAATTCAAGCCAATAGGCATGAACCACGGCTGAAAATAGCCTGGGTTAAAAACGAAATAGAGTCAGTTTTCACTAATAGTTGGAAGATGGAAGATTAACTTGTTGTACGAGGCGAATGAAAGGCGTAGTCTGCCAGAGAGCTCCTGCTTTCAATGATTCATTAGTATCATTTTATTTGTTAATTGTTTACTTGTAAATACATTTTTCGTATACTCTGTAGATTTACGCACATAAATTTTCATGCTTTAAATTCCCTTTATTTCATACCTCTTTTTAATGATAATAATAATATATCCCGACCCATACATATATTTTATATTCTAAACATAAATCCTCAATATTTATAATATATATCCTAAACATTTATTGTAAAATAAAGATGGGCGGATTATTGGTAATTAATAATTTGGTAACTAACATTTTGGTAACTAACAATTTGGTAACCAACAATTTGGTAACTGGACAATGAACAAATGACAATGAACAATTGAAATGATACTAATGAATTTATAATGTATTTATAATTAAAAAAATATTATTATGATCAAAATATATTTTTACCTAAGGCGGACTCGCAAATTCCAGGTGTAGGTGTACACACATCTCTAAAATATTTTATAGTGAAACAAATCTCAAACGTGGGTGTATATTGAACACACATCTCTAAAATATTTACGGCTTCACAAATCTCAAGCGAAGATGTACACCCCGTTCTAAAATTTTACAGTTTATCAAATCTTAAGCGAAGGTGTGCATACTGCACACATCCCTCAGTAAAATATTTTCAGTTTAGCAAATACTAAGCGTAGGTGTACATACATCTTTAAAATAGTTTAAGGTTCAGCAAATCCCAAGCCTAGGTGTACACATTTCTCTAAAATAGTTTTCAGTTTAGCAAAACTTAAGCATTGGTGTTCTCACATCTCTAAAATATTTATAGTTTAGAAAATCTCAGGCGTAGGTGTACAACCATCTCTAAAATATTTTACGGTTTTGCGAATCTCAAGCAAAGGTGACAGGTGTACACACATCTCAAAAATATTTTACGGTTTAACTTATCTCAAGCATAGGTAAATTGGTGTACAGGTACACACATCTCTAAAATATTTTACGGTTTAACTTATCTCAAGCATTGGTAAATTGGTGTACAGGTACACACATCTCTAAAATATTTTACGGTTTAACTTATCTCAAGCATTGGTAAATTGGTGTACAGGTACACACATCTCTAAAATATTTTAGGGATAACAATTTTTAAGCCTAGTGGTACATACTTCATACATCTCTAAATTATTTGATGTTTTAAAAAATCTCAAGCCTAGGTGTAAACACATCTCTAAAATAGTTTACGGTTTAGCAAATCTTAAGCGTAGGTGTAAACACATCTCTAAAATAGTTTACGGTTTAGCAAATCTTAAGCGTAGGTGTAAACACATCTCTAAAATAGTTTACGGTTTAGCAAATCTTAAGCGTAGTTGTAAACACATCTCTAAAATAGTTTACGGTTAAGCAAATCTTAAGCGTAGGTGTAAACATATCTCTAAAATATTGTACGGTTTAGCAAATCTTACGTGTAGGTGTAAACACATCTCTGAAATAGTTTACGGCTTAGCAAATCTTAAGAGTAGGTGTAAACACATCTCCAAAATATTTTACGGTTTAGCAAATCTTAAGTGTAGGTGTAAACACATCTCTAAAATAGTTTACGGTTTAGCAAATCTTAAGCGTAGGTGTAAACACATCTCTAAAATAGTTTACGGTTTAGAAAATCTCAAGCATAGGTGTAAACACATCTTTAAAATATTATATGGTTTAACAAATCTCAGGCGTTGATGTACAAATATCTCTAAATTGTCTTATGATTTAATAAATGTCTAATAGATCAAAGGTGGCATCTAGTAGTGTATTAGCATTAATTTACAAGAGATTTGTGGTTTAGAAAATTTCCGAAGGCTAAGTAATAAAGTTTTGTTTAACCTGATATCGACTAGTTCTTCTAGTTCTCTCTGCTCCATGCTACCCTTGATATACTTGATGAGGCACATGACACAGTTGAGAGCTGCATGAGCGAAGACGACTGGATTATCAGTGGACAGGAATGCTTCAAAAACGTCGAGAATTGCTCCAATGTGAGAGTGCTCTGAAATATATGGATTAAAAGTCGGTTTAAAGCGTAAACTTGTGGCGGTCCTTGCAAATCGGAAGAAAAAAAATCAAATTAAGCGCAGAAAAAAAAATTAAGAAAATCATAGCGATTTAAAAGTTTTGTGGTTTTGGCATGTGTTTTTTTTAATAAGTTGAAATCTGGATTCATGAGATATCTAAGAGATCAATAAATACATTATTTTTAAACTGTAATCTGTAGGTCTTACAATCATATGACTGAAAAGATTGTAGAATCATAAACTAAAAGATAGTAGATTCAAAGAACTCTAAGATCTTAAATTTTTAAGACATTTATTACAAAAAGGGGATAATAGATTTTAATAGATCCAAGGGATCATATGTTGATTGTGAATGGTAGGGATGGTAAAATTTAAGAGAGCTAAGAGATAACCTGTAGTTGATTGTAAAAGGTTAGGATGATACAATTGAAGAGATCTAGAGATCAAATACCTGTGACTGATCATGAAAGCTGTTAGGATGATAGAATTTGAAGGATCAAAGAGATCAAATACCTGTGATGGATCGTGAAAGGTTAGGATTATAGAATTTAAGAGATCTTAGAGATCAAATACCTGTGATGGATCTTGAAAGGTTAGGATGATAGAATTTAAGAGATCTAAGGGCACCAAACAAAGGTTTACATCCTGATCTAATCTCAGAAGGAGAACCTTCTACAAACTGCTGAATACTTGATATTATCTGATCCTAAAACCAAACAAGAGATAAGTTTTCTATTCAGAATTAAATTCCAGATTGTGTTTAATAAATAATGTCTTTGCCACCAACTAAAATTAGCTTATCCCTATTACTTTGCAACCTGATAGTTCAAACCTCTTATATTTCAATTTTAAACTATTTGATCCAAAAGAATTCATAATTTGAAATATCTAAGGTCTACAAGATTGGGTTGCGAAGATATACGGATTTGAAAAATTAAATTAAATTCAGTTGTAAGAAAGGGTTTCAGTTGGATACCATCAGAACTTTACAAACTTTACCCTGGAAAGAATAGAATAAGGGCAATTAAGCATGAATTTTTATTGGTTCTTCCAAAGTTCTGAAATTAACTTGATTCCCACTAAGCATTCACTTTAAAAATTACAAATTGCTTTTCATTAACAGCAAATATTAAAATAATTTTTATCCAATCAAGATTGTAGTTTATTTTCAGGTGATTTCTTTTCTTATCCTTTAATTAAGATTTACAAATAATTTTTTTAAACTTTAATAGTTTATATTAATTTATTTTTACAATATTTTGAAATATTTATATGATATCAGGTGAAAATATTTTGAGAATTCTAAATTTCTTGTTCATTTTCTTCTTGTCTGTACATCTTTCAATCATATTTGGGCTAATTTTGAAAAAAGAAAATATTTTTTTGGGATGTCCTTGTAGTACGGCACTCTACAAAGAAAATCTATTATAAGAGGATCTTGCTTTTTTAAACTTTAAATTGAATTAAACTAGCTGAGAGGATCTTGCTTAATTTTTTCGGAATTTTGTATTAATTTGTTTACTCATGAGTTACATTTGACTAAGTAAAACACCAATTCCTGATATTTTCTTTGGGGTGGGGAGGGGGGTGGGGAAAGCGATCGTCTCACCCCCTCCCCCTCCCCAATAGGGGGGGCCCCATCTCTAATATCAAGAGATTTCCCTTTCCAGTTTTTTTTCTGTTCACTTTTATTTTTTCTTCTTGCTTCTTGTTTCTTGTTTTTACACTATGAGGCATCTCTAAATAATTCTTTTGACATTGAGTTGTGGAGTAGGTAGGAGAGAGAAAAGGAGGTTTGCAGGAGGAAGGGTATGAGGGATTGCTCCCTGTTTTCCTTACTGTTTAAGGAAAACAGATTGCTGCACCCTTATGCAAAATGGGGAGTTGTAAGCCCCATTGGGAGGAATCTTCCACAGCAGTCCAGTTCTCACAGCTGGTCGAGTAAAAAACCGGTATCCTTGTGCATGGCTTGTATAATCATCAGGGGTTGAACGCCTCCTTTCAGCTGCACCAGGCTGAAGATGAAGTCTTGTTTTATTCAATATAAATTTTCTACTCCCCTGCAGGATACGACATGTGCAACTAAACACAGTACTCCTCCAAACTATAAGGCTGGGACTGCTATAAGAGAGGCCAGTTCTCTTCTGAGGGTGGTAAGCAACTGACAAATGCTATTTTAATTAAAGAAAATGTCCATACCACGGATTATACAATTTTATTTGATATTTATACTTGATCATACCAACAAATAAAGAAAACAAATTAAGCATATTTTTTACCATCAAGTTTTCTAGGTCTTGATTTATTCTAAGAGACAAATTTATTCTAAGAGACAAATATGAGTAGTAAGTTATTTGTTGGTTCAAAATTTGAGAAAAGAATTTAGGATGAATAACATTCTTTTAAATGTTTTACTATCTTCAAAGAACCCAAACTCTTTTCATCTTTAACTAAAATTATTGACTTTTATAAAAATAGAAATAAACATTCAAAGACAAGATAAAATACTGTCTCAGTGAATAATGTTGGTGGAAAAATGAACAAAAATTATTATTTAATGAGCTTTAAAGACCTGATATAATTCAAAATCTAAAAATCAAGATAATATATTTCAATTATTAATGTTAAACTCCAAACTAGACAGAAAAAATTATTTAATTTTACAGGTAGGTATTTGACACCTTTTAACTCCTCTAGTTTTGATTGTACACACAATTATTTATTTTAAAAATCTATCCTGACACACATTTGAAATACAAAGTATGTTTGTTCTTCTCAATAGCTCTTTAATAAAAGGAGTTATGATTGAGTGTGTATCCGAACTAGGGTTTCCACCGGAATTCCGGGTTACGGTTTACGTACGGAAATGATCCGGAAATTTTTTCCATTTCCATTATGGAAAAGGTTCCGGAAAACCGGAATTCCGGAACGATTTCCGGAACGATTTTTTTCCCGTAAAACGGAAATTTCCGGAACGTTGTTTGGAATTACGGATCGTTATGGAATTCCAGAACGTTTTTTCCGGTTTACGTGACGTAAACCGGAAAATTTCCGGTTTCCATTTATACCGGAATTATCCCTGAATTCTTGTTTACGCAACAAATTTCCGGATCATTCCATTTCCAAAATGGAAATTTTTTTCCGGAAAAATGGAAACCCTAATCCGAACCTCCCAGAGGAAGGGTGTGAGCAGAGCTTTCTAAGCCTGTTGAGAGAAAGGGCGCTATGTGCGTTGTACTTGTATAGAAGTCTAGATATCAAGGTCACTTCTCTCAACAACTGAGTGGAAAGCATGACAAATCCCGAACAAGATAAAGATATAAAGATAAATACAGAAGGAATACAGAAACTCAAAACATCAGGATGAAGTACACGCTGATACAGATTTTCAGGGGGAACAGAGCCTTCAATAGACTTTAAATCAAATACCACAAACTGGTTTTTCACCCTTCTCGAAATGGAAACTGGATTACTCATGGAAGACCTCTGACAATGATAGGCAAAAGACACACTCCCCGTGTTTTAAAGCGATTGGACAGCATGCTTAGCGGGTTATTTTTTCTTTAAAAAATCTGTCCACGTGGGAATACACGTTAAAAGTGAGGACTATGGTATATCTCATACCTGTTACCCTTACACACCCATCCTCATCCGCCTACCTCCTAAATTTCAACCTTATCCTACTTCATGAGCAGATTTAGTGGAACTCAGAAACTGCTTTGCTGTGGAATCTTAATCAAAACTTTCTATCATTGGTATCATGGGTTTTCCTTTCCTAGGGGGTACACCCAAATCACCTTGAACCTAGCCGAATGCAGTTAAGGCTAGGAGGTCTTTTAATTTCTTTCTAAATTACTGCAAGACACTGATACATGTAATGCAGCTGACAAAAGGAAGTTCTCATTACAACAATGTCAGCAATAAACCTGCATAGATGGCCGATATCAAAAACAACTGGAATAAATATAGAAACTCAAGAGCTGATATTGAAATACTACAAATTGCCTGATCAGCTCTCGAAACTGCATATTAACCCTCCTGGGGGGGCGGGGGTATGCAGCTAATTGAATGAGCAAAACAGGACAGCAAGGAAACAAGAAGATTGGAAAAATGATTATCTGCATTCTGCATTAAATACATGTATCAATTAATTTGTTTTATAAAAAATTATAAATAAATAAATTGATAAAGTTAAAAGGAGTTATGATTAAAATCCTGAAAGATTTCAATCTTATGCGCAATCAATTTTAGTTTACTGCGATAATGTAATATTAATATAAATGATTGCTTGCCTTAAATTCTAACAAATTGCAACACAGTTTGAATTTTCAAATAGGAGGGAAAGCTTTTGTATCTTTAATCTGTGGCTTAACCATTCAGACAGGTGTTCCTATCCCCCAAACATTTATTAAAAAGAAAAAATAGATTAAATTGAGAGGGTTTAAATGGCTGAAGGGTGTCGTCTTAACCTCAGCTTGCTTGCCAAAAAAATAAGAATGAAAAACAAACAATAACAGAAACACATAAGATGCCGAGCAGTTCTGTCAACAACGGGAGAAGTTGAAATGCCTATCCAACTTTATTCAAATTAACAAAAATTTTAAAAGTAAAAAATAAAGAATTATTTCATTATAATCTTTTGGCAGACGTCTAGTGTCCATATATGGAATTGAACTTTAAACCCTTAAATTTAAAAGTTTACATCGTGGATATCTAGTTCAGTCGCTATCCCAATCAAAAGTTTATTCACAAGGGTGTATATTTTCTTGAAAATTATATCCCCCTAATTATTTATAAGTAATTTTCCCCCCAGAAATTAGGTATTATTTTAAAGGTTTTAGAATTGAATTTTAGAAAAAATAAATAATTTTTAAGAGGAAATAATTACATTTTTGAGTAATAAGTATGAAAAAGGATAAAAAACTTGAGTTTTGATGTCTAAGTTTTCATTTTTTCTCCCCAGATCTTTAAAATAATTTCTTAAAAGCCCTGTATGTATTTGCTTTACTAATATTTGGTGCACTAGAATTTTATTTTAAAATGATATTTTATATCATTGTGAGTGGATATTTCCAGATTAAGTTATTTTGAATGTTGTTTTGTCCTAACATTTTTATTGAAACATGAATAAAATATAAAGAATTTTACCCAGACATATTTAAAAAATAACTAGATTTTACAAAATACAAATATTTTGAATAATCCACATTTTTCATATTTCTTAACCCTATCTCTGCTTGGGTACTTAAAAACCAGGATATGCTGGGGGGGGGGATCAATTTGACCCCCCCTCTAAATCCCGTGTTTAATGTCCAAATGTGACAAATGATACGTCATTGGAAAGCTCTTGTGCTCTACTTTTAGAAAAAATTTGCAAATTTGCAAAAATTTAACTTTTTATCGCAAAATCCAGTTATAAAGTAAAAATATTTTCCAAGAAAAATTGTCTAAAAAATGAAAAATTATACATTTTTAAAAAGCCCTTGACAATGCCATTTCAAATATGCAAAAAATTTTGCAAAATTTTAAAAAACCTCATTTTTAATCAAGAAAAACTAAAAATGTGAAAATTTCCTTTGACAGGTTGTTTGCAAAAAATTTGCAATTTTTTTTCGCAAAACTTGTGCAATTCGTTTCCTTATGTCAAAGGCTTTCCAAAAAGCTAAATTTTATCAAAATCTGACAAGTGGAAGTGGGTCAAAACAAAGATTTAGTTTGTTACAGGAAAAAGCAGTCATTCAGGCAGTGGAAGTGGGTCAAAACAAAGATTTAGTTTGTTACAGGAAAAAGCAATCATTCAGGCAGTGTGCCTGGGGACTCAGGCAGTTAGTATTAAAGCCCGGTTTTAGGACTAAAGGGAGGGCTTTGGGTATGTAGGAAAAGTCAGAAAATTTCAACAGCCTCAGACCAATACTTTTTGAGTTATGTAAAAAAAAAACTACGGGGGGGGAGGGTCAAATTGACCCCTCCCCCCCCAGCAGGAATAGGGTTAAAGAATTTTTTCTTAATATTTACCAAACGAACAAATTTGTCCACAATGCTAAACAGAAAACTCAGAAAGAGGAACTTAGGAAGTCGACTTTTAAGTCGACTCAAAAACGAAAGTAAATACTGCGACACAGATCATTAGTTGCTGTCTATGTTTTTGATGATTTATAATAAAAAAAAACTGGTACGAGCTACAGCATTTTGCACTCTAAATTACGAAATAAAAAATAGTTTATTTGTCAGGAAAAGCTGGATGGCTGCCAAATAAACGACACAAAATCGCTTATACAAAAAAAAACAATTTTTTGGCAGTCATCCAATTTGTTGTAGGTTGTGAAAATTTCTCTTCTCTTTGAGTATATATGTAGTTCAAAATTGATTTCAATGACATCTGATCCGCTTAAATGACCACGATTAAACGTTTGGGATGTCGAAAATTAAACATTTGCTGTAAATTAAATAATTATTATACTTCTTAACTAAAAACAATTCAACCTACTTTTTGGAATATATGAACTAAAAACATGACATTTTTTGTGTAGTTTTAGTTAACGTTTACGTTAATTAACACCTCTTTGTGTAAGTGCTATTGAGAAGAAAAACAATGTTTTGAATTTTTAATTATAAATTAGATGAATTTACTTTCTGACACTTGTGCTAATAAAAATTAGAGGAGCTACGATGTCACAAATCCGTATCAGAAATGTTGAATACATTCAACATTCTCCTTCTGTTTAGTTTTGTGTGTGTGGGGGGGGGGGTTAATTCTTTTTACCACATAGTCATCATCACAGCCTCACAGGTGTTATTTTATAATCTCCGTTCGAGTTTAATACAATACTTGGAAAAGATAATTAAAACCTTAATATCTCAGACTGTATCCGTTAAAACCTTAATATCTCAGACTGTATCCGTTAAAACCTTAATATCTCAGACTGTATCCGTTAAAAAGTCTGAAAATTTTAATTTTTCTTTATTTTCTCATGCTTATCACAAGTTTCAAATAAAAACAAAATTTAATTTTTTTAATGAAAAAAGATATATTTGGGTAAAACTATTCCTCATTAAGTAAAAAAAGTGCAACTCAGTGTCCTAAAGCAAATTGGTAAAAAGGCTCAATTCCTTTGTTAAAACTAACCTGAACATCCTGGTCACATAGCTCCAGCATGATAAGAGACTCGTATGGTTTAAACAGGGACTCATTAAAGTGGAAATACGATATCTCTGTGTGATGGTGAAGGAAATTACTGATGCTGTCATGGATAGCCTATATAGAGAGATTGATAACGATTTATACACTGTCAGCATATATATCAATACAGTGCAGGTTACTCCATTGATGATATAATACAATTTTAGATAACTTATCGTATTGTATTGAAAAATATGTCGTCTCTGTGCTATATCATGATTTCAGTAAATGGTTTTGTATTGATATTTACATTGATATTTTAACTTGTAAATTATCTTTGATTTTTGATTTTTATATAAATGACATAGCGTGGATGAAACCAGGTTTCAGCTTCTTTTTAATTTCAGTTTTAAAACGGTTTACAACAATTTATCAGAATGTAACGGCTAAATTTTAGAAACATTCTTGCTTTGAAGGTACGTCGGTACCTTACTTAGACTTTTATCTATAAATTAAAATGGAATATATTACTGCTTTTCCTATCTTTAAATTTTACAAGGCTGACATTTTTCTTCCGTGCTTCTGTTGAAAACCACATTTGGAAATCATAGAAAAGTTTTAGATAGAAAAACAAGGACTTATCCGTCATTTTGTGCCGACAATGTTTCAAATGCTAAATCACAAAAACATATTTAGCTTTTCTTAGTGAATTAAGGTTCACTTAAAAAAAGTCGCCAGCCCCTTTAATATATTCACCTGAACAGTCCCTTTAATACCTGTACAGTCTCTTTAATATATTCACCTGTACAGTCCCTTTCATATATTCACCTGTACAGTCCATTTAATACCTGTACAGCTCTCTTTAATATATTTACCTGTACAGTCCCTTTAATATATTCACCTGTATAGTCTCTTTAATGTATTCACCTGTACAGTCCCTTTAATACATTCACCTGTACAGTCCCTTCAATATATTCACCTGTATAGTCTCTTTAATATATTCACCTAGACAGTCCCTTTAATATATTCACCTGTATAGTCTCTTTAATATATTCACCTGTACAGCCTCTTTAATAAATTCATCTGTACAGTCTCTTTAATATATTCAACTGTACAGTCTCTTTAATATATTCACCTGTACAGTCTCTTTAATATATTCACCTGTACAGTCTCTTTAATATATTCACCTGTACAGTCCCTTTAATATATTTCACCTGTACAGTCCCTTTAATATATTCACCTGTACAGTCTCTTTAATATATTCACCTGTACAGTCTCTTTAATATATTCACCTGTACAGTCTCTTTAATACATTCACCTGTACAGTCTCTTTAATACATTCACCTGTACAGTCTCTTTACTATATTCACCTGTACAGTCTCTTTAATATATTCACCTGTACAGTATCTTTAATATATTCACCTGTACAGTCCCTTCAATATATTCACCTGTACAGTATCTTTAATATATTTACCTGTACAGTCCTTTTAATATATTCACCTGTACAGTCCTTTAAATATATTTACCTGTACAGTCCCTTTAATATATTCACCTGTAAAGTCCTTTTAATATATTCACCTGTACAGTCTCTTTAATATATTCACCTGTACAGTCTCTTTAATATATTCTCCTGTACAATCTCTTTATCATATTCACCTGTACAATCTCTTTAATATATTCACCTGTACAGTCTCTTCAATATATTTACCTGTACAGTCCCTTCAATACATTTACCTGAACAGTCTCTTTTTATAGATTCACCTGTACAATCTTTTTAATATATTCACCTGTACAGTTTCTTTAATATATTCACCTGTACAGTCTCTTTAATATATTCACCTGTAAAGTCTCTTTACTATATTCACCTGTACAGTCCTTTTAATATATTCACCTGTACAGTCTCTTCAATATATTCACCTGTACAGTCCCTTCAATACATTCACCTGTACAGTCTCTGTGATATGTTCACCTGTACAGTCTCTTTAATATATTCACCTGTACAGTGTCTTTAATATATTCACCTGTACAGAAAGTTTTGCAATCATAAGATGTGAATGACCACCTCCCTAAAAATATTCTGATTATAAATAAAAGTTGTATTTGAGTTTTCAGTTCTTTAGTACCAACAATAATTTAATTCTCAAAGATTTTTCGAAAATTGTACATTTTGCCAACAAGAGCTGAAGCTGTCTGCGTGCATTTATTTCTGCATTTGTAAAAAACAAAAATCACGTTGTTTTGACTCAAAATAAATTTCTCTTTGAATTGCAAAAACAGCAATTATTTATTAGACGGAGTATTGGTTTTATTATTTCAAATCAGACAACTAAAGTACAAAGTATTTTTATCAATTTTAAGAAATTATCCCCCCCCCCTCAAATTCTGAAAGTTCTAAAAGAAAATTACGAAGGGACATTTCTAATCTGCCCTTTATTTTGAAAGAACTTTTCTTAGAAACACATTTCCGTACGTTAGAATATGATATGATATATAGATATATAGTATATATATATATTTGTATAAAAAGTTTATTGATATATAAATATATTTATACTATATTTCTATAAATATATATCATATTATATTCTAACGGACGGAAATTTTAGTTTTTGAGAGAAAATCACAGATTTTAACAGAATGAATTTCAAATTTTATTTCGTAAAAATAATTCATACAAAAACTTTTGCTATAACATTAGGAAAACTGTTCTAAAAATTTAATTTAAAAAATGTCTTACCTCCATAAAATGCTGGCCGGCGATTGCCCAAGAAAGCATAACGTGAACCAGCGGTCTAGCAGATTTTATAATCTAAACAACAAAATATATTCAAACGTGAACCAGCGGTCTAGCAGATTTTATAATCTAAACAACAAAATATATTTAAAAATTTCTTAAACATGTTTAACCAACATTCAAAGGCATAGTATTTTTGCCACAATTTCAAATTTTCTTACCCTTATATCTTTGCAACCAAATGCAGTAGAACTTTGGTATTACAAACTATGAATTCAGTTTTATCAAATAATCTAAGTTTAAAATATCAAAGGTTTAAACCATCAGGTTTCAAAGATATAGAGATACAAAAAATTGAGTTTGAGGTTTAAATTTTATTTTACCTGTAGCATTGAATCAGTCAGTTTAGTTAGCAATAAAACCTGTTTGAGAAATTTGTTTATTTTTATAAATATAGTTATGTGTAAAAGAAAGGGTTAGCTTAAATTATTTAATCTTAAAAAATTAAAATTAAACCTTTTTTACAGTGAGACCCATAATACTGTGAAATAGGAAGACCATTTCAATAAGACTCAAGTATTTTATAGAACATTAAAAATTAATGAAATACGAAACATATAAACAAATGATATAATTATATATACGATATACTTGACTCTAACCTTTATTGTTTCGATAGTTATACACTTAATATGTTATAAATGTCGTCTTTCTAATTCACAGTGTTGTGGGTCTTCCTGTTTACATCAAATAGTCGTTTTTTAGAAGAATAAACAAGTGTTTCCTCTGGATATAAATTGTTTCCTCCATTTTGTTTGGTTTGGCATGTGATCAGCTGTTTTCTCGATTGAAAAACCAGTTCTTGAAGAAACCCAAGCAAGGCTTTCATATTAAGTGTGTTTGAAGCGCCGTGATACACTCTAGAAACATATCAGACCATTTAGAATTTAATAAAATAGAAAAAAGGAACTAATTACTTGCAACAAACTCTAATGTTCCAATCTATAATTTTTCTTTCCTTTAAATTATGAATTTTATTCAACATTTGAAATATCAAATATTTACTCCATAAACTTAGATTGTACACATTACACAATAGTAATTAGATAAATATAGTCAGGGAGTAAAGTCAGTTCTTTTTTTGATTAATTATTGACCAAGAAATATATAATAATATTTTTATTATATTATTTTCTATTTTTGTAAAATAGAAATCTAAAGTTTAATTCAGAAATTATTTTATGTAAATAGATATCTATACATATAGGGTAGTTATTTAGGTTTGTTTGTTTGTTTGCTTGGATGTCCGATCATAACTCAGGAACCCCTGATCGACTTGTCTCAAATTTTGATTTAAGGACTCGGGAGAACACTGAATTGTTCTTAGCTTGATTTTGAAAAAAATTTTATACGAAAAAAGCCGGGAATCCAAGCTAGTACAGTTGTCATCTAAAAAAAGTATTTTATAGAAAAAAAGCTTACTTTTCTATTTTCTGGGATAGATGTGATATGCACAGCTCTGCTACTTCCTTGCTAAAATCAGAATATATGTTAGATCTATGACGTCACTCGAGCCAGGAAAAATATATACGTACCTGAGGGCTAAACTGAAATCATTGATATTTGATAATTTCAATATTTGATCAAGATCCTTGTACGTTCTAGAGGCTGGCTCTTTCATGAAACCCAACCTAAGAATTTACAAATATAAAGATGTTGAATTGAATGCAATTTAAATCTATATAATAAAGCTCTTCGCTCATATATATGTTAGCTATAGCCGGCTAAACGGCTAGACCAGATTGGCGGATTTCTTTTGTACCACTAACACCGGTTCCTAGGGTTAACATATGTACTATGTAAGTTAAAAAAATGAATTTTTTTCTTCAAATTTCAATTAAAGTTAAGCAAGTTATGAAAATGAGTTTTTTTTTAATTGTAGATTTTACTCCAAAAACAGGAAAGTGGGTTTTGTTTCGAAAACGCCGCAATTTTCAAATTCAGGATACGTTTGAAGATGGAAAACCTATTGTCTTGAAAACAGTCAAGGGATACGTACTAAGATGGAAAACCTGACATTTTCCTAAAAAACAGTCAAGGGTTAAAAAAAAACTCCGTTCATAATTTTTAACATTTTTTAAAATTCAGCACTATAGCTAGTATTTATTAATTTGGAATTGTGGGGATCGACCTTTAAACTCCTTTATTTTTTTGTGAACACTCCCTTTTAAGTTTAAATACATACCATCCCTGATCTCGTGCTGAGCCGGGGTAAATAATATCTCCTGGAGACAGCTTTGGACCTTCCGTAGATGAATCCTTAAATTATTATTTTAAACAACTTGTCAAAAATATGAATAAATTATCCAAGACAATTTTGATTACATTTTTTTTATTTCTATTTTAAAATCCGTTAGTGTTAACAGATCCACGAAATTTTAAGTTTTACAATTAGGAATAAAAATTGTGACTTGAAAAGCTACAATTGTTCTAATTTTAAATGTAATATACTAAATTTATATTTTGCAAGTCTTTTTTGTATTAACTTTCATTTATGTAAATCAAAAAAAAAATCTGCGAAGTGTTACCTAAGACAATTTTACAAAATATAAATATGATCCCCCTAAGATAGTTAATAGACTTCTATTGAGAATGTATTCATCAAAAATATTTGTTTAACCCTATCACGACTGGGAGGGGGGAATATTCCACACCCCTGTGTTTTTTTTTTTCTAAATAACATAAAAACGGTTTAAATTATAATGTTTTTACTTCTTCATTTTTTCAACATCTAAGATTTGAACAAATTTAGCTTTTGCATAGGATAGGGTGAAGAACAGTCAAACGGCGTATATTGGTGTTTAAAAAATCAGAAGTGCTAACTTTTTTTATTAATTAAGCTATAGGGCTAAAATTTATATATGTGCAAAGCCTTTGAAAAATGGATGTAATAAATTATGTCACATGTTAAAATAATTGTCAAAATTTTAAAAAATAATTTTTGACCATATTTCCGACGTTATTTTAAACTTTTTAAAATCCTCCCTTGTACCCTCACCTTTAAAGATAGAGGTATAATTTTGTTTCATGAGCAGGCCTTGAAAGTTGGACCGAGGACATGTATCACACTCCCTTATCTCAACTTTAAGGGTTAAATCATAAGGCCCCCCCACCCATATTGACATGTATAGTCAAGCCCGTATAGGGTTAAAATCATAATACTCTGTGTATGCGCAATATTTTTAATAATCCCACTTTTTTTAAATGCACCCAAAAAAATAATTTATTATTTATTATTATTATTTATTTGTGAATGTATTTTTACCTGAAGGTTTGGTCGAAATATTGATTGCTCCAAGTTCTGAATATACTTGCTACAGTAGAAAATATGTTTCCAGCAATCCTAGAATTTTACATAAATAAGTTTTTGTTACAAAGTCAAATTTGTCAATCATTATATCTATGCAACCTGATGGGGTAATATAATAGAATTCACAGATTTGAAATATCAAAGGTCTACGACATAGTGTTACAAACATATAATGATTTGTGGTAAGGACTCAAGTCTTGCGGTTCCTAAACTGACGTTTAAATGAAATTAAAAATAATTCAGGCTTATGTAGAGAATAAATTGACTAGTTAATAGTTATCTCGACACACATTAAAAAAAAAGTAATAAAGAAAATTTGGAAGTAAATTTTGTCAATATGGATATAATAATGATAAACAAATGTACAGTTTATTGGAGTGTGTTTTAATCTATAAAAAGCTCTTCTCTCATATTCTATTGACATAGGCTAAAAAATGATGGACCTTTTTTGTAAATCAAAGGGCAACTCCGGGCTAAAATAATGATTTAATACCAGGTGCGGGTAAACGGCGGGAGTAACTATGACTTGGAATACTAATATGAACCTTGGCAACGCCGGGCACTCCATGGCTAGTTTTAAAAATTATTTAACAAATAAAAAAGATAATTTTACTTGACACTATAATAGAACAAAAACACTATAATAGCGTGATAAAAATAAAACAATGCGTTCAAAAGATAACACTTTTGTAACATCATATTTGAAAAAATGTTATTTTTAAATTCTTATAATATTTTCTTAGTGTAAAACTTAGCAGGACTTCATGGACAATGTTGCAGCAGAAAAGTGAAAAAAGAAATCAATAAAATTCTGTTTAGATATTTTCTTAAATTTAAATTTGTAGAAACTGTTAGAATTTTCCTTTTAAGTTTGAACAATACCTGTGAGTGTGAAGCAAGTTCCAACCCATTATCTAGCAAACATTCTAAAGCTTTAAACCGAGAAACTTTCAACTTTATCTAAATAGAACATGTAAAGTTTGAAACCATACACCTAGTACAAGGAATGATCTTGTAAACTTAGATAAGGAATTGAGTCTTTGCCCAAGATCAAATTTTCTTTATCCTATTTTTGCATCCTGATGGTGTAGACCTTTTTTATTTCAAACTTTGTTTATTTGATCCAACAAAATATTAGTTTGAATTATCAAAGGTCTACGAAATTGGGCTGCTAAGATATTAGGATTTGAAAATTAGAGTTGTGGCAAAGACAATCCGCACTTTTTAACGATGGTATTTTCGTTTCAACTAAAAAACGGCTTATATGAAATAGAACACTCAAATTTCTTCACTTTTTCAACTTTCTTGCACCCCATGTAACCATTTAAGTTAGAGGTTTTATTTTTTTTTGAATTAGATGGCCTTGAAAAGTTGAAGTAGGGACAAAGTAAAAAACAAAGGGTAAATATTTTTCCATAAGACAATTATAATAAAGTAAATGTTGAAGAAATATGTTCACCTTTTTATTACTGTTAGACTGGCACGCTATCTCAACTTGAATCCTCATTGCAGAACCTTTAAACATAAAATATTTTTAAAGAGAGAATATCAGCAAGAAATGTTTAAAGAGAATATCAGCAAGAAATGTTTAAAGAGAATATCAGCAAGAAATGTCCGAATTTTATCAGTTTTTTTTCTACCTGCTAACTCGTGTAGTTCCACAGCTTTAGCCAGCTCAACTAAAATTATATTATTTTTAGGTTCGCATTTTCATTTTAAGTTTTGTCTATATACATTAAAACGGCAGAACCGATCAGGCCCCAACTTTTGTGGGATCTGGCGTGACCCCAAGTAAGGTTTATGATGAACGAACTATACATATTACTTTATATACTTTTTAACACTTATTATTTTTAATTTTGTTTTACTCTGCATAAGTGATATGCATTTCTTCTGTAAGACTAAAGTTACAGGAACTTTCAGAATAAACAGTTTTTGAATCTAGAAAAACGACATTTTCTTTGTATGATGGCCACTAAAACTAATACTTAACTTCCTATTGCATATTTTTTTTTAAAAAGACCTGCATTAAATTTTTCTTTCAGTGTTAGATATACACTTAAACAATATGTAATAAATATTCTTTATGCTATAATTGTAATTCTCTGTAAACTAGAGAATTTCTAGATTTTAAATATTCATATTATATTATATTATGATAAAAATGCATTTTAATCTGGAATTCATTGCAATTGTACCCTCCAATATTTTATTTATGCAAATGGTCAAGGTTGGGTTTAAACCTTAAAATTAAAAAATGAAGTGTAGATCAAGACTCAATATCAATACAAATTAGAACAAAGACTGATTTAGCAAATTTTCAGACGAAAATTAAGATTACAAACAAAATTATTGGATATAACACTACAATAAGTTATTTAATTCTGCAAACTATATTTGAAATTATATTTGGTAGGTATTGTTTAAAATTTGATTTGTCAGTGCTGTTATTTGTGTTTAATCCATTTAATTTGGACTTTGCATCTTATTCTAACCTTTTAATCCCTACAGTAAACACATTATAATCCTCCGATTCACTATATCACCCCAACCAACCATTTTATTTTTCCAACTTGATTTTAAAAGGTGATTTTTTGATTTTGATTTTTTAAATTAGGAATTAAAACATTATCTTCACTCACAAATTATGACTAATAGTTATGTATGGTCAATAGGGGCATTATGAGGAAGGTATCGTTATTGTTAAATCTTTTTTATTCTCCAATAATAGGTATAACAGGGACCTATTTTATTTAAATTGAGAGGTGGCTGAACTACCTACGGCCGTGCCGATTGAAATCTTAAGTCAGCGATTCAAATCCTCATGAATTAAAGTGTTAATCGGTCATTCAAATTTGAACCAGCTAAAATTCATTAAATTCGGTCTCAGTAATAAAACTTCAAGAAAACTTTCAGTTTAATCCTTAATTATGCTTTTATGGATAAAAAAGGTAATCTATATATAAATTTGGCTTGTCTGTTTGTCTGTCTGTTTGGGTGTCTGTTTGTCTGTTTGTATCCAATAAACGTCAAAACGGCTGAACCGATCGGGCCCAAATTTTTTGTGGGACATCTAGGGACTCCAGGGAAGGTTTATGAATGATTGAAATTTTAAATATTTGTCTCCATCAAAATTCGATCGTCATTAAATTTTTCAAAATTTTGAAAATCCGCGAAATTTTTTGTGAAAATCCGCGAATTATTTTTGTTTTGTTTTACGATGTACACAAAGAGAACATGTTCACAACTAATTTAGTAGATGGGCGCGAAGCGCCCTCTAAGGCTAGAAAGAAGGGTGCGAAGCGCCTTGAATTTCTAGTTTTTAAAATATCTAAAACATGAATGTTTCATGTTGAAATAATAATTTGAGAAGCTTTTAACATTAGTATTCACAACATCCTTGTATTAAACTTGCATAGTGCTTATTGAATAATTGATGTAGGGTTTGTAAATTCACTTAAAACTTTTTTACTGAGTTTTGGAGTTTAAGATTGGGTTGCAAAAATATAGGTATTAGAAAATCAGAGTTAGTGGCCAAGACTCATGTATTCCTTTTTGTTATTCCAATATGTATTTTATCCAAGAAGTGGCAAGTAAGCTACCAAATTATACTAGTATACTCTACAAATTGTCAATACCCGACGAATTGTCAAAAAAAATTCTGATCCTAAAGAATTAACGATGCTAGTTGTCATAAATCGTAACTACCTAAAGAGTTAACGATGCTAATTGTCATAAATCGTGATTGCCTAAAGAGGTAACGATGCTAATTGTCATAAATCGTGATTACCTCAAAAATTAACGATGCTAATTGTTATAAATCGTGATTATCTAAAGAGTTAACAATGCCAATTGTCATGAATCGTGATTATCTAAAGAGTTAACAATACCAATTGTCATAAATCGTGATTATCTAAAGAGTTAACGATGCTATTTGTCAATTATTCTTGATAACCTAAACAGTTTACAATGTTGATTTTCATAAATCGTAGTTACATAAAGAATTAAGCATGCTAATTGTCATAAATCGTATGTACCTAAAGAATTAAAGATGTTAATTGTCATAAATCGTGATTATCTAAAGAGTTAACGATGCTAATTGTCATGAATCGTGATTATCTAAAGAGTTAACAATGCCAATTGTCATAAATCGTGATTATCTAAAGAGTTAACGATGTTATTTGTCAATTATTCTTGATTACCTAACAGTTCACAATTTTGATTTTCATAAACCTAAAAAATTAAAGATACTAATTGTCATAAATCGTAATTACCTAAAGAGTTAACGATGCTAATTTTCATAAATCGTAACTACCTAAAGAGTTAACGATGCTAATTGTCATAAATCGTGATTGTATAAAGAGTTAACGATGCTAATTGTCATAAATCGTGATTACCTAAAAAATTAACGATGCTAATTGTTATAAATCGTGATTATCTAAAGAGTTAACGATGCTAATTTTCATAAATCGTAACTACCTAAAGAGTTAACGATGCTAATTGTCATAAATCATGATTATCTAAAGAGTTAACGATGCTGATTATCATAAATCGTGATTAGCTGAAAAATTAACGATGATAATTGTCATAAATCGTGATTACCTAAAGAGTTATCAATGCTGATTGTCATAAATCGTTATTACCTAAACATGTAAAGATCCTTATCGCAATAAATCGTGATTACCTAAAGATTTAACGATACTGATTGTTATAAATCGTGATTACCTAAAGAGTTAACCCTGCTAATTGTAATAAATAGTGATAACCTGAAAAGTTAACTATATGAATTGTCATAAATCGTGATTACCTAAAGAGTTAACGATGCTGAGGTTTACTGTCTCGAATTCTCTATTCTTGAACTTGAATTTGTTATTCTTCTTGTTTCTCACAAGAAGACCCAGCGATGATTTTAGTCCTTTATTCCAAACAAAATATAATTTTATGAATGATTTGAGAGATAAAACTGCTCTGGGGTAGAAACTTATTGTAGGTAATTGAGCTATGTACTGCACATATTCAGTTCAGATAAACAAAGTTTTAAGAGATTAAGAGCGGGATTAAACCCAAATCTGACTTTTATTTCTACAAACTATCAATACAAAAGAAAAAAATCAGCAAACCACGGACGGACCATTTTAAAAGTTCGTAGAACATCAAAAGACATGGATTTGTGCTATCTTATACTTTAAAATTTACAAGTTTAGACCTCTGAACGAAAAATTTTTAAATTAACTGCATGATTTAAATTTATTTTTCCTCGTGAGTCGTCAGGAAAAAAACAGATTTGAAGCTTAAGGCTACTGAACCTATAGTGAATGTTTCTTCTAAAAACAACGTATTTCTCACACACAAATAAAGTAATAGCATTTCTGAACATCTATACTTTGAAATTTTTTTCATGTTTTATTATTTCAAAATTGTATCTGTTTCTGAGAAACATTTTTTTCATTTTATCTGTTTCTGAGAAAAATTTTCTAAATTGTATTTGTTTCTGAGAAAAATTTTTTTCATTGTATCTGTTTCTGAGAAAAATTTTCTAAAATGTATCTGATTCTGAGAAACATTTTCTAAATTGTATCTGTTTCTATGAAACATTTTCTAAATGGTATCTGTTACTGTTACTGAAACATATTTTCTAAATGGTATCTGTTACTGTTACTGAAACATATTTTCTAAATTGTATCTGTTTCTGAGAAACATTTTCTAAATTGTATCTGTTTCTGAGAAATATTTTTAAATGTATCTTTTTGAAACATATTTTCTAAATGGTATCTGATTCTGAAAATGTATCCAATTGGGTAAAATTCATTGAGAAGTTCTTGTTTTTATCTTAATTGTATTTTGTCTAAGAAAATAACAACAACAATAAGATTGTAATGAAACCATGTCTCTAGGGTATAATTTTTAGAAATAATCTAACTTCTCTTTGCTCCACTGAGGTCGCAAAAATAAGATATGTCAAATTTTTTCTATACTTTTAGAGTAAGTCAAATTTAAAGACCAGCAATCAGTTCGATGATAAAAGTCGTAAAGTTGTATCTAAGGTTTCCAGCTCACGTCAAACTAAAGTAAAGGAAATGAGTTTTTGTCACAAACTCAGATTTGTTAAACCCAATATCTCTGCAACTGGATGGTGTAAAACTTTGATATTTCAAACTCAAATTAATTGATCTAGCAGAATTCATAGTTTGAAATATCAAAGGTCTACGACATTATGTTACAAAGTTATAACGATAGGAAAATTTAGTTTGTGGCAAAGACCCAATTCCTTTCGAGTAAGATTGAGATCTTAAATGTTTTTAATCATTACTTTTGTCTTATTGAAGAGCTATTGAGAAGAACAAACATGTTGTATGTAACCCGATAAATTTGCTTTTTCTCATACTTGTGCGTAAAATCCAAAAGAGAGGAACTATGAGGTCACAAAGTTGTAACAATAACGTCGTATAAATGTGACGTTATCCCTCTGTCTAGTTCCCAGTGAGCTTTGATAAGACAAACAGGATTAAGACCTTTTAGAGCCTAGGCTTTTAAATCACAGCTTATGATGTTTTTTTTATTTTTTCTTTATTTTAAAACCTTGATATAAAAACATATATTGGCGAAATTTTAAGAGAACTTTATTTAACGAAAAGCCAGTTCAATTCACAACGGTACCCTTTAAACCTTACTCTGATCAGTAATAAGGAAGATATTTTCGTTTTCCTGGCTGGATAAATGTTTATGTTTCTAAAGCAGGAAATGTGCAAGTCACTTTTGTAAAGAAACCACCAATAAAAATGAACAGTTATCAAAAACAAAAACATTTATAGCTAAATCATACTTAATAAGCTATAGTTTTTCAGGTACTTTTCTGGAATCGGACTTAGCGCTCTGTATATGGAGGGTCACTTTAATTTCTGTTTACAGTCCCTTTATAAATCAATAATCTTGGTAAAAACAAATTAGTTCTATTTGTAATGTTTACAATTTTAATGTTCAATTAATATTTCAAAATACACAGGAAAACAAACTTTTAATTTGCTTAAAACTTTTAAAAAAGTTTTCAAAACAAAACTATGAAGCAACATTAATCAAAATGAAATTATTTTAGTTCCAAGTACAGATCTTTCACACGCTACTGTAAACTAGACATAAAACACTTGTACGACTTTGTGACCTCAAATCTTCTCTTAAGAGGTAATATAATATTAATAATTAAATAAAATAAATGTTTCCAAATTGAATTTTTGTTTCCTTGTGTAGTTGTTTTTGTGATATTTGGTTTGGAAGAGATGGCTACTGTATAATCCCATACAGCCGACAATATTCTTCGGGACAATCTCACGCCAGCTTTCTACAATAGTTAAAACCTTTTTTTAAAGTCGGGTTTAGAAATTGAGCTGAACCTAAACTGAGTCAATTGAAGTTATAAAGATAGCAATGGATTTAAGACTAAAATAGAGACTCATCTTCAGACAATATATAATTTGTTTAGCTTAAAATAAGAAAAAATTTTGAACAATTTTCTGAAGTAGCTGATTACTCGTATTAAACTCTCATTCTGTAATCTTGACCTTTAATTTTTCAAAATAGGATTTAATGCAAAGCGAGAATTAAGTTCCGCCGGTCTAAACAGTTACTTTCGCAGGGTCAAGCTGAAGAAAAGAGATTAATCTAGTTTATGTAGTTTAAGTACTTTTTACATTTATCAACGTTTATAATATATGGGACATATATAAAGATAACGGGGTTAGAAAATTAAATCAGTTTCATTCTAAATATTTTGAGAGACAATTTGTTTTATATTTTCTCAAATCTGCGATCTTGATACAAAAGTATACAAAAATATTGAATGTGTGCGAGGTATTTATATTATATAAATTGTACAAGATAAGAGTGAATGGAATTTATTTAACTAAAAGATAACCCAGATAGGACAAGAGAAGTGGTCTTGCTAATGCATAGTTTAATTTTTTGCGTATTTTATTCTTTAGACTTTTCAATTTCCTATTTCTAATAATTTCAAGTGGTGGACAAGAAATAAAGGAAATCTATAAACATTACTGTTCATTACATGGCCCGGTGAATCAACATTGCATAGGAATTGAGTCATAAAGAAACTCACATTTCCTATTCCCTTTATCTTTACAACCTGATAGTGTCAGCCTCTGGTATTTAAAACTGTAGTCATTTAATCTATCATTATTTAGGGATTGAAGTAAAGTCGTCGTCGCACATATCAATACATTGAAGACGACTTTCTATTACAATTTTTATTTCAACAGCATGTATAAACACCAAAATGGAAACAAAGAGAAGCTGTAATGAAATATTTTCTCTTTTTTATAGCTTGTTAACATTCAAAATTTAAATAGAAGTCATTTTAATTGTTTTCATATAAACGCTAACCACTGTATCTATAAGGTCTATCACATCGGGTTGCAAAGATATATGGGTTATCAAATTTACATTCAAACTTAAAATTTAGAAAGTTCTCAGTGATAATTCAAAAGTAATAACGTAGAGGATAATTATCCCATTATTTTAAGTAATACAATCAAAATCAAAAAGACCCGGTATTAATGGACAGTTAATCAGACGACTTCACATATATATCTCTGCCAATTAAATATGTTCAATAAAGGCAGACCATATTTTGGAAATGGCAGGACTAGGGATATTTTGTGATAATCGTTTCTCCAATCATATTTTCAAAATTAGAATGTAAAGTCGTCTGATTAATTGTAAAATAATTCCGGGTCTTTCTGATTAGGACTTATTTAGCGAGACACCCTATCCCAAGGTTACAATGCAAGGAAATTTACTTCATAAGTGTACGCATCTTTTGCACTGTAGTGTACTGTCTCTGGGCGGTAATGTAAAACAAAAGTCGGATGTCACAGCCTGACATGGGATCCATCTTTTACATAAAAAATCAATGAAATATTCTGGTCATAGGAAACTATTATGTGAATTATCATAATTATCAAAATTTAATGCTTTTAACCTCCTCGGATACTAAAGGAACACTGATGCATCTATTCTTGTTTACAAATTCCGCCCAGAGAGAACTGGTACGCAGAGTATACGCAACTGCAATTAACTTTCCTTACATTAGTACCTTGCCCTGTCCTATCTGTATATTTGTAACTGAACCTTTCTCTCTCTAGCACACTGCTCTAATGTATTTCCGATTCTCCTGAACTCAGATAAAAACTGGGAATTTAATTTAGTCTCTCCAGGGTTGTCAAGATCTAAAATACAAAAAGTGTTTAAAGATAAGAGTTGAATGAATGAAAGGGAAGGATTTACAATGGTATCCTATAAACCATTATCTGAGTAACCATGAGTAAAATTGAATTTTGACTTGATTTTCTCTGTTGAATTCATCCAGACGTCATTTTTACAAAGAAATCAGGAAGGTTCAAATTTCACCGTTTAATCGGACCACTTGCTCTATTAATGCAGTTTCCTTAATTCTGGAATATAAACTCATGTTATTTAGGAATTTTATGATTTTTGATCCAATATTATCAGAACCAATCATTTTTTGCTGATTTTCGAAATAAGAAAATATTTAATACTAACCAAAGAATAAAAACATTTCTGAGGTTTAGATTAATCATCAAAAATAGTTACAACGGCATGATACCCGAGGCCGAAATTGAAGAATTTGAGCCGCGACTTAAATTTAAGCCGTGGCTCAAATATGGTTGGTTCCGCTTAAAATTGTATTAAATTTTTCACGATTAAAGCCAGCGCTTAATTGAAACCGGTTTTTGTACGCTAAGCAGTTAGGAATTCTAGCTAGAAACCCTTAAACCCTTTTCGTAATTTTATATTTCGAATGTCTGCATGGATCTCCTGTTACAGCTCAGGGATTGTTAAGAAGACAACATCAGAGAAGAAGTTTTTAGTTTATAATTTTTGTATAAATTGAATTTAAGTCATACAGGGTTACCCACAAAATGATAATACTGAAAAGACGACCTAAAACACTTAAAATATCTAAGTTTCTAATCTCTAATCTAATATTTGAAAAAAATTATAATTCCTGTGTGCGACAAATAAATGATAATAATAAGAATTACCAAGGCATATGTTGAGAATCGGGGAACTGATCTTAAGTCCACCAAAGATATCGGTTTCTATCAAGTTTTCATAAACCTAAATAAAAATGTTCTCATATTTAATAATATTTTTTTTCATTTTCCCATGATTGATTCAGTGTCACTCGTGTTTTAACATTTGTCCGTTCAAAATGAGTTTATATTTTTCGAAATAATATTATTAAAAACAACTTTTGTTTTGTGAAAAAGATACATTTTAATTCAAGATTCGATTTTTTTATTTTAATAATGTAAACACAAAATAATTTATATAAAACTAATTAAACGTAAAGCTTTGTAAATTTAATTACGACCTTGAATGAAAAATCACAATTTTCTTAATTCTAAACAGACAATGTACTTTTTGATTTTTAATCGATGTTTTGAAAATAAAAACAAATATAAATGGGTTTTAAAGTTTTCTCATATGCTTATATCATAAAAAAGACGTTAATTTTAATGCAAAATTAATTAAATGGTGTGATTTTGCTCATAAAAAAAATGTTTATGTGTTTTCAATTCTTACTTTGTTACGATATTTGAACTTGATGTAAGTAACATCAACTAAATCCCCATTTATATTTAGATTTATCCAACTAAATCCCCATTTATATTTAGCCTATATCCAATTAAATTTTTTTTATTTCTCCTACCCTACCCTTTAAAATCATGCATCACCTTAGAAATCCACCTGGATGAAATATAAACCAGTGTTCCAGATTCCAAGATATTTTTCATAAACTCATTCTTAGTAACACACGGCTCCCTGGGTTAAAAATTAAAATATATAAAAAGAATTCTTTTAAAATTTTTGTCATTGCAGGATTCCTTAAAGGGGCTCTAAGCGAAATTTTGAGACATGAAGAAAGCGGAATGTTCGATTTACATGGTACCATAAAAATCTGTCCGTGTTCGTCGAGTACAGAGATATTTGTGTGTAAACTTATCGAAACCCTCTTCTATTTAGCTGCATATTCAGATGTGCACATTGCTGAGTTCACACTGCACGCGGGATCAACAAGAAATTAAGAAATAAGCACGCAAATTTGTCCATTTTTGTGCGAAATTTTGCTTCCACTGGAAACCCTATCTATATATAAATTTGGCTTGTTTGTCTGTCTGTTTGTTTGTCTGTTTGTTTGTTTGTATCCAATAAACGTCAAAACGGCTGAACCGATCGGGCCCAAATTTTTTGTGGGACATCTAGGGAGCCCAGGGAAGGTTTATGAATCATCAAAATTTCAAATATTTGTCTCTATCAAAATTCGATCGTCATTAAATTTTTTAAAATTTTGAAAATCCGCGAAATTTTTTGTAAAAATCCGCGAATTATTTTTGTTTAGTTTTACGATGTACACAAAGAGAACATGTTTACAATTAATTTAGAAGATGGGCGCGAAGCGCCCTCTAAGGCTAGAAAGAAGGGCGCGAAGCGCCTTGAATTTCTAGTATTTTAAATTTTAAAAGTACGATTAAAATAAAAATGCATCTTCAAATAAATTAACAATAATAAATAGAGAGTCGTTAGAGATTTTCTAAAGAAAATTAGTAATGTTATCCAGGCGAAAATTACTCTTTATAAGCTCTATACAAACTGTCTTCCAGGTGAAATAAAATCTGGGTAAACTGTGTGTAGACAAATTGTTATCTATGCGAAATATTAGATGTAGTTGATCCAGGGAAACTAGTCGAAAGTGTTCTTGCTAGATATTAGATGTAGTTGATCTAGGGAAACTAGTCGAAAGTGTTCTAGCTAGATATTAGATGTAGTTGATCCAGGGAAACTAGTCGAAAGTGTTCTAGCTAGATATTAGATGTAGTTGATCCAGGGAAACTAGTCGAAAGTGTTCTAGCTAGATATTAGACGTAGTTGATCCAGGGAAACTAGTCGAAAGTGTTATAGCTAGATATTAGATGAACTTGATCTAAGGAAACTAGTCGAAAGTGTTCTAGCTAGATATTAGACGTAGTTGATCCAGGGAAACTAGTCGAAAGTGTCATAGCTAGATATTAGATGTAGTTGATCCAGGGAAACTAGTTAAAAGTGTTCTAGCTAGATATTAGATGAACTTGATCCAGGGAAACTAGTCGAAAGTGTTCTAGCTAGATATTAGATGTATTTGATCCAGGGAAACTAGTTGAAAGTGTTCTAGCTAGGCGAACATGTACTTATCAAAATATTACTGTTTAACCAGAATTTAGTAACATGAGTATCCATTATTTATATTTTCCATAAAAGTAATCCTAAACCCTAATTATGTATTTTAAAACTCAAATTACTAAAATTAGTTTACTCGTTAACTTTCTTTTTAAAAAAATATTTTTTTTTGATTTTTCCAGTAATCTATAAATAATGGTCTGGTAATTCTTAAATGAAGCTTGACATATTTGAAACTATGATAGAATTTGTATTGGCCGAATGAGTCATGCTCGAACTTCATCTTTATACGTTGTTAAAGAATCTATTAAAATTATTTAAAATTGCACTTAAGATGCAAGAATTAGGAATAGAATGAAATGTATCAAGTTCAAGCATAACAACTTTTACGATAAATATGTAATAGATTAAATTTACAATTTATATGGATTACATAGATATTATGCTGAACCAAATAAAATAAAATAGTCACAGTTTTTGCAATAAATGTTAGACAATAAATTTTGATAAATGTAGCATTTACTTAAAAAAAAATTTTAATCAAAGGAAATTTGAAACCTCGACCTAGAGGCCAAGCCATGACCAAGAAAGGGTTAATTAATAAATCTCAAACTATTTAAGTTTAGAAAATGACATTCCTTTGTAAAGAGTTGCTTTTCATAAGAATTAGGTTAACAGAATTCAATGAAAAAACATCATTTTATAACATAATTTAGGAATATCTATTTTATTTATTTGTTACATAATATTTAAATATCAATATATATATGCTTACCTCTCCCCGCGGTCGGATTCAAAATAGTTTTCATTTCTCAACCTTAAACAAATAAAATTTGTCATCATTTCAAGTAACTGTTCATTTAAAGACAAAGAAATGGTCCCCTGAAGGTTTGGATCAATTCGGAAAAAATAGAATTTTTGTAGTTAATAAAGCAAAGGCCTAGGACCAAAATGAAAAATGTATTTTAAATATTAGGATGGTTGACTGTTAAATATATTAAAGGGTTACTAATATCTAATATCTAAGAATTGACTCTTTGCCACTATCTCTGATTTTTTCATCCCTCTATCTTTGTAACCCAAAGGCGTAGAACTTACATCCTTGAAACTGTGAATTCTGTTAGAATAAATAATTTAAGTTTGAAATATACAAAGGTGTTGCTGGAAATATATGGGAATGTGTTTGAGACAAAGAATCAATTTTTTTTTGGTTTCTATATTGCATTGTTTTACTCTTAGGAGAATGTTCTCGAAAGAACGGAAAATATGAATAGCAAAATACTTTTTAGCCATGATACAATATATACTCTTTTAATTTACAAGTTTCTTATTGTCGAAATAGTGTATTTGTGTTACCACACACCTACAACGTATTTGATCCCAAGGGTTAATGAAAACCCCACAAAAAGATCGACTTTTTGTTTCGAAAGTGAGGGTGGACACTTTGGAACATCTTTTGAAATATTAATCAAATTTGTTTGCAAGCAAACCCTTCCACAATTTGTTATAAAAAATGTGATGAAACGGATAAATTCATTGATCATATTTTATTTTTGTGATGTTACTGAGTTCTCCAATCAAATAGGTCCAGGGGTTCATACATTTTAGCTGGACATCAAATGCAGACAAACACAAAAACTACTTCTTCTATGTATATACTTTTCTTGTTGATTTGTTTGATATATACAAATAGGTTGTCAAGTACAATAGATGGCAGCACAGAATGCGTACACTTGTATTACAGCTGTTTCTACGTCATAAGTGTCAACTCAATTTATTGTTAGACTAAAGTGCTTATCATTCAGTAAAATTAGTGCAATTTTATATGTTCTTTATTTCTGTTTTTAAACTTTTTCATTTAACGTTCTATAGACTAAATAACGGGGTTGAAACTGATATTGTATATAACCCTTTAACATTGTAATTAGAAAGTATTACGTTAACCCTATCTCTGCTGGGGTACTTGAAAACCAGGATATGCTGGGGGGGGGTCAGTTTAACCCCCCCCTCTAAATCCCATGTTTGATGTCCAAATATGACAAATGATACAACATTGGAAAGCTCTTGGGCTCTAATTTTAGAATCTACAAAAAAAATTGCAAATTTGCAAAAATTGAATTTTTTATCGCAAAATCCAGTTTTATAGTAAAATGTTTCCAAAAAAAAAAATTGTTCAAAAAATGAAAAGTATACATTTTTGAAAAGCCCTTGACCATGCCATTTTAAATATGCAAAAAATTTTGCAAAATTATAAAAAACCTTATTTTTAATCAAGAAAAACTAAAAATGTGCAAATTTCCTTTGACAGGTTGTTTGCAAAAAAATTGTAATTTTTTTCGCAAAACATGTGCAATTCGTTTCCTTATGTCAAAGGCTTTCCAAAAAGCTAAATTTTATCAAAACCTGACAAATGGAAATGGGTCAAACAAAGATTTAGTTTGTTACAGGAAAAAGCAGTCATTCAGGCAGTGTGCCTGAGGACTCAGGCAGTTAGTATTAAAGCCCGGTTTTAGGCCTAAAGGGAGGGCTTTGGGTATGTAAGAAAAGTCAGAAAATTTCAACAGCCTCAGACCAATACTTTTTGAGTTATGTAAAAAAAACTACAGGGGGGGGGTCAAATTGACCCCCCCCCAGCGCGGGAATAGGGTTAAAACATATTTCAGAAATGTTTTATGATATCTTTCGAGAAGTGCTCTGGAAAGGGCTAATCGTGGATAAACCCCCAAATCCAGAGAAGTACAGGCAACAAGAAACGGTAATTTTCTAATGAAATATCTCAGCAGAATCTTGGAAATCATATCAACTTATTAGAGGACATGTCGTCTTTCTTTTTACTTTTGAAACTTGTAACGTTGTGCGCAGTTGATCGATTTTTCTGTTGCCATACATTGTACTTGTATATATATATATATATATATATATTAGATTTACCTGATGCTTAGTTGAATAGCATAATAGCAGGTTAGATAAACTCCGTCTCCACTGAGAATAGTTTCAAGTCCACCATCAATCTTCTAGAAAACATATTCAAATAAAACACCCAGAAATAGAAAACTAATATATTCAAATAAACACTCAGAAATAGAAAACTAATATATTCAAATAAAACACCCAGAAATAGAAAACTAATATATTCAAATAAAACACCCAGAAAGAGCAAACTAATATATTCAAATAAACACTCAGAAATACTAAACAAATATATTAATGTTTTCTACTTAATAAATCTTGAAAATCACTATAAAATTTGTGTAAATTATGCACGCCAACTTTTTAAAAAAAGAATATATTGAAAAATACCTGAGCTCGGGGGGAGTGAGAGGAAAAATCCTGAAATAAGAGATTTTTTTGGAAGAAAAAAAAACATTTTTAATTTTTTAAGAAACATCTTATTTTCTTAATTTAAAATGACTCCTTATTTAAACAATGGCAGTTCCGATTCACACCCCTACCCTAAATTCAAAGCTAGACATTTTCAGATGAAAAAAAAGAATATCTCATTCATCTTGATCGGACAATGTTTAAAGGATACCGTCTTTAGACGATGGTATCTAAGTACACCTAGAGATTCACCGAAAGAATACTTTTAATAATTTTATTTTATTTATTGAATTTAGAAAGGAATAAAACATATAGTTGGCAAAATTATATTTATACTATTCTGCCTCTACAATACACTTAGTTACAGTGTTTCATAAGGTTCTAAGGTTTACTTTATTCTTTTGTCTTAAATAAGCCTATTTATAATCAACTAAATTAATTGGAATAGAAAAAGAAAAAATATAATTTTTGTTGTTGCTGAGTTTAAAACTAAAGAACGAAAAGTTACGACTTGCATGTTAAGCTTCAGCTTAAATGCTACTTCTTACTTAATATAAACCTGAATTTTAAATATTTAACTCGCCTAAATAAACGAGTTAAAAATTAAACCCATGGTTAAAATCATCAATCATCATTCAGCTGAGAAAGCGGCATTCAAATTTACGATATTTAAAAGTGAAAGCCTTGATCGAATAAATTTCACGTTTTAGATTAATTAATGTCTGCACGTAAACCCAAAACACGGAATTGTATCTGGAAAGATGTTTTGTTTTTGTTTACGTAAATAATTTAAAAAAAAAACAGATGATTAGCGATGGTTACGTAATATCTCTTCGTAAATCCTTTTCTCTGATTGGTTCAGATTTTTCTCTTCAGGGTTAAATTGAGAAAGTTTAATATTTAAGTAGCAACTCATTATTTTACAGAACTTTAAAGTTATAACTTAAATTTCGCATATCCTTTAGTTTTAGACTTTGAAGTCTCATTATTTAATACTAAATTCTAACATTTTTAATAGTTTGTTTTTTGAAAACCATAAATCCAAATCTGCATTTTTACCTGACAAAATTGTGAGGAAAACTCTTGAATTTTTTGATCAATTTCGGCCGCAGATCTAATACAGTTAAGCCTTGCAATTCGATTCTGAAATAAGAAGGATATTTGTTTAAGTTTACTCATAGCTAAATATATCATTGTGGAATAAATACAATTAGTGGTTTCAGGAAATGTTACTTCTTCCTTTTTTCCATTTTATCTTCTCGTTTTTTGTTCCCCTTCTCCTCTCAAGGACCCCCCCCCCCTTCTTCTCCTCTCAAGGACACCCCCCCCTCCTCCTCTCAAGGACACCCCCCCTTCTTCTCTCAAGGATAAAAAAAAATAAAATAAAATTATAAAATATCAACTTTATACGAATGCGTTAAAAACTTATCGATGATTATTGGTTCTAATATAATGAATATCGTTTTTCGTGAACACTCCCTTTAAGATGAAATAAACAAAACAATACGGTACAAAATTTAAGCGCACATTTTAAAGTCTCTTTGTAAACTTTGGTTTTTGGGTAATTAAGTTTCCCATGTTGCCAATCTTTCCCATTTTCTTTAACCAGTTTTTGTTTTTAAGAAGTGCACACTGCACATTTACACATTTTTTCATTTATGTCTATACACAAATTTAAGTACTAAAATAGAAAAGAATTTTATAGGTTTTTCATATCAATTGGCAACAGTAATAAAAAGAACATATATACTGATGATGTACGTATATGATATAGAAAATTAGAGAAAGACAAAATGTATGACACACAATCATACAGCACAGTAAATAATTTATTTCAAGTTACAATACCTTAAAAACTTTACAGAACGTATTGGCGTTTTCAGTTTCTCTCTCCTCCAGTTCTTCCTCACTAAAATACAAAGTTACTGTTTATAAAATTTCAATTTACCATTCATTTACATTGCCTTTTATTATTTATTTTTATTGATTAAAGAAATGATATATTCTTATTTTTCTATTTTAAAATTCATATTTTAACTTGTGTTTTGTTTTAATTAAAAATTGCTTGCGGATATATGCTTCAAAAAATATAAAGTAAATTTAACTAATAACTAGTCTCGATGCTTTGAAAAAAACGCACATTTTTTTGGTAACATTTATATTTTTAACCATTTATAAAAATTCCCTGGAGTCATAAGGGTCTCCACAAATAGACAAGCCAATTTATATATATATATATATATATATATATTATTTGAAACGCAACAATCTTCTTATAACATTTTATTCATAAACAAATTGTTTTATGCTTTTATGCAATCATCAGTATATATATATAAAGATATACCTAGTATCACTTTTTGGACTATGGAGATATTTAGGGATCTTTTCATGCTCATTCTCCTCCTAGAGTAAAACAATGTATCGTAAATGAATATGTGTAATGCCAAGTTGATAATCGAGACGTTAAAAAATTAGAAAGTCAAACGCGGCCTTTCTATTTAATTTTCTTTTAACTAGGCTGTAGACGCAATTTCAAGATATCCACCATTTACAGAGTGTTACCTGTCTAATTTACAAAGGTACCTTTTAAACAGTCATATGAGTAACAATGAGTAAGACATCGTCGTTATTATATCTTCTGCGAAAATTCAGAAGTCACTTTAACAAAAGTTTAAAGGGTATAAAACGTTGTAAATGGCCAGGTCACTTAAACTTACGTCTATACTTTATATGCATATATTGGAGGCCAGGATTTGTTTTGTATTGGTTTTAGTGTGATCTTGAGTCTTTGCAAACAACTAAAATTGTCTAACCCTAAATCTTTGCAACATGATGATAATTCCAACTTAGATTATTCAATCTAACAGAATTCATAGTTTGAAATATTAATCTAATCTAATATCTAATAAAATTGGGCTGCAAAGGCAAAGGATTAGAAAATCAGAGATTGTGGCAAAGACTCAATTCCCAAATACTAGTTACGTATTCTACTTAATCCTTTTACCTTCTTTGTTTGACGATAGATATTTGTATCATCTGAGTAATGACTGGTATCAGAGGAATCAAAGGAATCATCAAGTTCATCTTCATGTAAACCATATTCTTAAACAATTAGTTTTACTAGACTTTTTTATCAATCATATATACTTTTGAGAAAAACACAATGGAAGCGGTTAAACGTCAGGTTGAGATCTGGTTAAGACTCTACGACGTAGTAAGAGTGGTTGAGATCTGGTTAGGATTCACGACGTAGACTGTAGTACGAGTAGTTGAGATCTGGTTAAGACTCTACGACATAGTTCGAGCAGTTGAGATCTGGGTAAGACTCTGCGATATAGTACGAGCAGTTGAGATCAAAAATAGACTGAGGGGGGGGGGGTCAATGTGATCCCCTCCCCTCTATTTCATCATTGTGATATAAATCTATAACATATGGTACATGTTTGGAAAGCACTTGGGCTCCACATTAATAATCTGCAAAAAAAATATGCATATTTGCAAAATTTAAAATATTTATTGCAAGATCAAGTTTTTAGCAAAAATATGCAAAACAAAAGGTTATGATAAATTATACATCATTGAAAACCCCTTGCCCCACTGAACTTAAAAATATGCAAAAATATTTGCAAAATTTTCAAAACTTAAAGGTCTTCTCAAGAAAAACTAAAATTGTTCAAATTCCCTTTTAGGGTCGGTTGTGGAGAAATTTACGTAAAGTTTATTTGCAAAAATTGTGCAATCTGCTTGGCCTTGTGTTGTAACCTTTCCAAAGAGCTATAAATGTTGGAATCCAATGATTGGAAGCAGGTCTAAATTTAGATTTAGTCTAGTAAGGCATTCAGGCAGTATGCTTGAGGGCTCAGGCAGTAGGTATAAAAGTCCAGCTTTTAGCCTAAATTGAGGGGCGTGAACTAGTTAGGAAAAGTAAACAGCCTCAGACCAATCCTTTTTGGGTTATCGCGAAAAAAGACATGGGGGGGGGGTCATAGTGACCCCCTCTCAGTTAGAATAGGGTTAAGTAAATTTCACATTAGATTAATTCTTAACATGTTTCATATCCATCCACTTTTTCAGAGCTTTTTCCAAGATGTATCAAATAATCTTGTTGGTAAAGTCGTGACTAGAGAAGCTACGAGGTCACTATAGTCATATCATACATTTCTCATAATGGAACTGACATAAAAGAAAACCACCACAAATTATAATTTTCTCATCCCTATATCTTTGCCGCATGCCGCAAGATTTTAATAACTCAAATTTATTAATTATATCAGATCAAATATTCGAAGAGCTTGAAGTATTAAAGGTCTTCATCATCAGATTGCAAAGATATTGGATTAGAAAACTAGAATATGAGTTGATTAGAAAATATGAACACCTTTACCTGATACACTCTGCTCGGTTTCTGCTTTTTGAACGTCAGCAGTAATTTTCATAAACTCAGCAGGAATCCTCCCGCCAGCAGAATAGGTGTAAGGACCTAGATAAGTATTGACTTATTCATTCTGAGGGGTCATTATTGGCTTTGCTTTAGAAAGCTGAGGGCGTCTTGAAAAAAGCCATAAAACCCTAAAGTTATGACTAAGATTTTAAAACATTTTTTTTATTCTGCTAAAACAAAATTTGTATACTCTATAAAAGCTTCCCATATTGGTGTTCCAATGCTAAAGGTAAAAAGTCAAAAATGGTTTCTTCGTATTTCTGGACACCAATGTGCATTTCTCCCTCGGTGCGAAAGGATTAAAAGATTTAGAAATCAAAAGCAAATGCATATTGTAATTTGTAAAATGTATCAAGAAACTATAATTTTTCTGATACAAAATATAAAGAAATGTTGATGATATTTAAAATCTTAGCATGAGCTGCAAATACAGAATTTTTCCAACGTTTAAAAATCTTGCTGCACAGGTTTTATATTGTAAAATTGTGCTGTTTGATTTTTTGAAAAAAAACCCGGCAACATTGAAGCAATCTTGGTAAAAGCTAAAAAGTGTTTTGGCCTAGTAGTCTGCAAATCAGCTCATTAAATGAAATATTTACAGTTCACTGCTAACAAAAACGTTGTGTTTAATGCATAATGTTAATGTATATTGGACTATATATTATAATGTATATTGGACTATATATTATAATGTATATTGGACTATATATTATAATGTATATTGGACTATATATTATAATGTATATTAGACTATTTTAAAACATAATTTGAGCCTAAAAGCCGAACTATTATTCCCCAGAGAGGTCTGGCTGTGTAATTAAGTAAAGGAATTGAGTCTTTGCGACAAAACCAATTTTTCTTATCCCTATACCATTGCAACCTGATGCAACATTTTATATATCAAATTTAAAACTTTTGATCTAACAGAATTCGTATTTGAAATATATAACGACATTAGATTGAAAAGGTATAGGGATAAGAACATCAGAGTTTGTGGCTAAAACTCAATTCCTTTTTAAAATATTAAAAGTTAAAGAAAAAAAATATTTTTTCTAAAGTTGATTACTACTTTAAGGCCCCATAGCTACCTATATAGTCAGCATCCTTCAAGGAAGGGTAGGTTTTGTTTATGAACTCCACCATCTCCAACTGCAGACCCTCCCCCTCCACCCACTCCTTCAGCTTTGTCATGATCTGATTTATGATCTCCAGGCACTCATTGATCAGCTCAGGATCATTTACATCAGTACACTCATCCAGTACTTCAAATAACCTAAAATTCATTTATGAAATTAGTGACAGCTTAAATAAACAAAGTTACCGCATTTTTAAAACTAGATTACCCATAAAAGATAAAATATTACCTAAACAAATTTTTATTACAAGATGAAGGGCCCTGTGTTGCCCTTGGAAAATAAATTGAAAAAAAAACACTTTCCGGCCACCCGTGACTCGTGAGCGTCCACAAAAAAATTTAGCAACATATGAATGTCTTGTTTTATTATAAAGATGATGTAGGTAAATAAAGGAAAACAGAACTCAAAAGCTTAAAGGAAAACAGAGACGAACAACAGAAAGAAAGCAAAAAGAAAACAGAGATGAACAACAGAAAGAAAGCAAAAAGAAAAAGTTTGAACTACAAAAAAATCTTACATTACAAAAAGAGCCATGTCGTTGGACCCCTTTGCCTGAGTATCATTATATGCCTGTAAGGCAAATTTAAGTTGGCCTGATTCTGCAAGCACTAGTTTATGCACTGCCTTCAACCCAGGTAGTCTCTTCTCGGGACTAACCTATATTAAAGAATACAAAGTCGACAATCATTATTTTGAAAAATGGCCAAACTTAAATAGAAAAATATTTTAAAATGGACACTTTTAGAGCAACAATTAAAAGCCATAATTGTAAACAGGAAAGGGGGCGCATATTATAATTTAAATTCTAGAATGTTGCCCGTATTTCTATAAAGGTTAAAATTAAAATTTTCAAATTTTGATATAACTTGATTAAAAAGTTGCTTACCTGGACAAGCATTCTATCAAAGATTGCTTCTAAAACAGGTCTCTGATTCATATCCTGACCTAGAAAATTCAGGGTAAAGAAATATTCTAAATTTCTACAGTTATGAAATTCAATGAGCATGACCCAAATATTAAACTAGGGCCGGCTATTATACTTTATAAAAAAAATCAGTTATTGCCACAAATTCTGATTTTTAACAATCCCTATTTCTTCCAAACCCGGTGTCGTAGACCTTTGTTTTTTTCAAACTATGCATTTAGTTAGATCAAATAGTTTAAGTTTGAAATATAAAAGGTTTACAATTTAAGGCTGCTAAGATATAGGGATTCGAAAATTTGAATGTGAGGCAAGCCATTATATCTAGACGTCATCTACTGCATTACTCAAAATATAAAATCCTACTTTTAATAAAAAAAATAGCAATTAACAATATATCGAATTTACGCATTGTATCTAAATCAAACAACTTTATCCTATGGTTTAAAGTTTTTCTTCAATATAGTTTATGGGGTCAAAGACGTTTCTTGACGTAATCCTAAATGTATAAGCATGTCTGATTCAGAACATTACCTTTTATTATATGTCTGATAAAAAATGAATTTCACAAATATCCATTTACAACAAACGACGACAACCTTCGGCCTTTTGTGCAAAACAATGGCTCCATAATAACTATTTATGCTACTGTTATTTTGGTTCAATATGTTAGATATAAAGAAAATTTAAGTCCAAAAACGTTATAGCACGTCGTGCCAAAATAATAATGTTATAGGTAATTTTATAAAAAGTTTGTGTAGTTGTCCTATTGCAATGGCTATATTTAGATCAAATAAGCTTTGAAACAAATCAGAAGTCAAAATATAAACTTGTTTTTAATTTAATTTTCATTACAATTTAAAAAAAACTATTTTGGAAATATCCTAAAATTTTTGGGGAAAATCCGGGAATCAATCAAGCTTTAAAGCACACGTGATAATGTACAGCCAATTAAACTTTATAGCACGATGATTACTTTTTAGCACGTTCATTCTGAAATTCACGATGAAGTGAGGAAGAATGATAAAGAACACAATAAAATAAAATAAGTAATAAAATTTAAATAACCTAAAAGATGAACAGCTGATGTGGCAAGATTATAACCATGTCCTCTTATCAGGCATCTTAATTAATTAATTAATTAATCAAGCTATTTATTGAGCAATAGATTGAGCAATGCATTTCGCGACAAATTAGGCAATACATAGAGCAACATCATTGAGCAACAGTTTGATTATTGAATTATTGTATTATTAAACAACAATTTGAGCAACAAAATGAGAAATCAAATGAGTGAATAATTGAGCAATAAACTCTTCAGTAAATCAAGAAATAATTTGAGCAATGAAATTATTATTATTTAATTGAGCAGTAAATTAAATATCTAATGGATCAGTAAATTTGGCATTACAAATTGATCAATGAATTTAGCAACAATTGAGCAAAACGTTTGTTGATAAATTGAGTTCTACACCAAATTAATTGAAGTTTCGACTGAAGTGTTTTTTACTCAATTGCGGCCGTATGGAATGGATATTTGTTCATGCATAAATCTAAACAGTTTCATTTACAAATTATTTGTTTCCTTGGATTTTCAAAATACCTGATAATTGCTGGACAAAGGTTTCTCCAGACAAATGTAGAAAAGTGTTCACTTTGCTCACAAACATTTTCTTAAAGGAAAACAAAACAGGAATAGAACCATTGTATTACAAAATACAATATTTTTAATGAAAACACACTAATTATTTAAAATAAATACAGCAACGTTTAACTTTTATAAAATGTTATAATTAAAATAAAAAAATTCAGAGAAAATCTTAAAAAATTGGTGTACAAACTTCATTTCATTCAATACATTCTGCCAAAAAAATATTAGTTTTCAATTCAAATTTTGTAATTGTTACTTTAGTTTCTAAAATATTTGTTTCTGTGCCACCGAACTGGATTTCAAATGTCCCTCCATATCAAGAGTTACAAACAGTTATAAACAGAAAACTCTGGAATAGAAATACGACTTTCAAACTCAAGATACAATAGCAAAATGAACATGAGGCATCGCACAATTGCCTTCAAGGAGACCCGTTTCACTTAATTAGTGATTTAATAACTTTCTAGTAAGGCTATTTGCTTTGTAACATTTGCACCTCATATTCCACAGTTTTCTGGTTATCACTGTACCAAGTTCACTCCGGCACATATCAAACCGTTATCTGAGAAACGATGAGGGATGTATCATGTTTATTTTTATCTTGCAACAAATATTCTGTGACTGTCATTCATAGTCGTTTCGGAAACCCAACTTTTGCAAAGTAAAGATAAACTTCATTAACTGAAGAAAAAAAAATCTTTAAAGAACTGGTAGCATTGTAACTTTTTTAATGAACGGAGACTTGAGATTATGCCGAATATCCCTTTATTATACCTAGCGAGAACAAGGCAACTTCCAGACAGCTGATCAGAAATTCTTGTTCAAAATTATCTTTCTTCTTTCGTTCTCCATCGTCATTTCTTTAAAAGAAAGTTTTTATAATAACAAGAACAGGAACCGAGTTTTTGTCACAAACTCAAATTTCTAAACTTTATATCTTCGCAACCTGATGGTGTAAAGCTTTGATATTACAAACTTAGATTATTTGAGCTTATAAATTCATAGTATAAAATACTATATAAGGTCTTCGACTTCGGATTGCCAAATAATAAGTATTCGAAAATCAGATTTTGTGACAAAAACTCATTTCCTTAAAGGAAAACTTGAAAACGAGTGAACAAAATGAGAAAAAAATACGAAAAGGATAAAAAGGAGCAATAGCTTATATCCCGAGCACTTGCCTCAAACTCTAATTGTCTGTCCTTTGCAATGAATTGTTCTGGCTCAAGCAGTTAAAGTTAAAGGTTTACTCCCTCAGGTTGCAAAGATGTAAGGATTAAAAAATTAGAGTGTGTGCTTAATGTTCAGTTTCCTTTTCTATCATAATTCAAAAAAAGGAAAATTAAGAAATCAATTAAATATATTCTAAAATGCTGACCTTGAATGTTGTTCTATTTTGCTGACAATATATTGCAGGGTTGGTAGAAGTTGATCAGGGGAACTCTTCCCAATCATTACTTGCCTTTAACATCAAAAGAATTTATAAAATGTCGTCTTGACAATTTTTCAATGGGTTTTATACTATTATTACACATAATTCTCAGTAATTTTAGCAATAAATAAATAGCCATGAAATATGCTTGAATAGTTTCAAAAACCTCCCTATGATTATTTAATTTGAATACAAAATATTTGTGCATTTTATTTTTGATTTTCTTTGGGACCTCGGGTGACCCCAGGAAAGGTTTATGGGTGACCGAATTTTCAAAAATTTGCCTCTAACAAATTCGATTTTTGAAAATTTTGAAAATCCAAGAATTTTCTTTTTATAAAATCCGCAAAATTTTAGTTTGAAAACTTTGGAATTGGATGACAGATGACAATTATTAGAATCAAGTTGTCTTTAGATTATAAAGGTATTCCCTTTTTATTTATAGATATGTTTGTTCACTAGATGGCCAAACGGCTGAACCAAATTGGCTGACATTTTTTTTTAATAACATTGAGTGCCCCTGGCCGGGGGGCAAAGATTTTTACAACTGGGCAACATCGGGTACTCCAGCTAATGATTTAATATAGTTCAATGCATGTTGCACTTGTGCAGTGAACCATTTAATTGATATTCAAGCTATTTGTACTAAGTTGGTTTCATTATAACGACATTAAATACACATACTTGATTACTCAAGTGTCGTTAATCTATTCCACAGTTATATGTTAGTATTTAGTTTATGGAGATATAACTATAAGATAATTTAAATATTATTTAATTTTACACAATACAGTATTCGAATCAATCACTATTTTTGAATGAGAAACAGTATAAATAAATTTTTAGCGAAATTTATTTTAAAAAGTTTAAAATTTCTTTGAAAATCACAAATATTTTGAATATTACCTGCAATAAACTGCTATACAGCTAGTAGCTGTATTCTGAGCTGCTACCCTAACAGATGTACCTCCCCCGCACACTTCTTCACATAGGCTTATTATCTATAATTATATATTTCAAATCATCAATATTTTATAGAAAAGGGACTCAACATGAAAATTTGATTGACCCTTCAGGTATAAAGTGTTATGTCTATAAGTCACGGAAATATATGAAATTGGTTGATCTATAACAGCTTATTTATGCAGCTCAGACAGCTAAGGGAATATAATTGAAATGTCAAGAAATCCTGCAGTATGCAAAGATTACAACGCTTAATAAAAGTCTGTCTGTCTGGTCAAGTATGATTTTATGACAATATTTATAATTGTCTGATTCGCATCTATTTTAGATTCAATAGTAAAGTTACGTACGACGTAAAGTTCTACTCCAGAAAAACATAGAGAAGTTATCAGATTTGAACACTTTTAATCTTAAAAAATCGGTATAACATTTTCCATATCATAGATCAGATAAAGGTTTCAAGGATACTAGTGTTAATCGGTCATTGCCATCGTTGCATTGAGTGTACTTGGCTGCGTTGATACATCTACAGTCTATATGTATATACAAATGTAATCTCTGTTTGTCTGTTTGTTTGTTTGTCCGATCATAACTCGGAACCCCTTCACCGATTTGCCTCAATTTTTGATTGGGGAATTCGGGAGAACCACACGGCATTGTTCTTAGCTTTGTTTTGAGACTCTAATTTTAGTGGATCGACTTTTATCGGGAAAAAAAAGCAAAATGTAATTTACGACGATATGGTGATAAACGGCGGGAGTAACTATTAGTACTTTGGGAAAAGCTGGGTTCCCAAGCTATTGATGAAAAAAGATTTGACCTGAAGAGTGACCTGCCCCGATGTGTTCCAGTAAGGTTGGCAGGAGAGGTAAAGCAAAGCTTGAAGCAGGTCAACTTGACTTTCCTGGCCTAGCACAGGCAGGTGCTGCAGGCTTAATACTACCTGCAGGGGCAACAAAGGAACCATTAGGTAGGTTTTCAAAAAATTTCGATTAAGTTGTTTTAAAATTTGCACAATTTTGATAATTTTTATATATTTCGTTGAAAGAAAAATATCTCATGTTTTTAAACTTTTAAATTCTCTGAACATCCGACATATTTACAATATTTTAATATTGTATTTTCATTTTCCTTTAGGTTTGCTAAGCTCTCTGCAATTATGAGACGGTGATGTTAGGTATTTTCCCAACAGCATTTTCCCATAGACAACTTCCCTAGTGACAATTTCCCTAGTGACACTTTCCCAAGTGGTAATTTACATTTACTACCACTCTATACACATACATCTAAACAGTTTGTTTTTAAATCTTTGTGACAGAAACAATCTCAAGGAATAATAATTTTCTTAAAACATTTTTTAAAAAGTGAATATTTGCAAATTATCTTTTTTCCATCTCATAATCTGAGTTCGTTTCCCTTATGTCCATTTGACAGGCCACACTTTTATTTTGAATAATCTTTTTTGTTTGTTTATTTTATTGTGATTTTTTATCGATTTTGATGGTTATTATATCGTTAGAACTGACGAGGGTCAACCCAGACCCAAATATATTTTCAATAAATGTGGAACTAACATCTAATTTTTTTTACTCTCAGAGGTTTGGTCCATCACCGTCACCGAATTTTTAGAGTAAATATGTACGCACATTTTTAAGTTAATAACAAATGAAACATTTGCTTTTTTGATTTTTACTGAATCACTTCTAGAGGACATTTATTACCTGAAAAGCCATGTAGTTCTCCTTCTCCTCCTCCAGCTCCCACTCCTTCTTTCCCTCCTTCTCACCCGTCTCCTCCTCCTTGTCGTAGAACCTGTTGTCTCGTCCCATTTTCTCCAATATCTGTTTTGCAAACACGCATTGTCTAAAAAAGTCGTGTGTAAAAGTCAAATTTACGCAGATCAAAAGGGAAAACTTGTTTCGCTTTATTTCTTTCTTAAAGTGAATCACGTTAATTAGAAATGATCTGAATTTACCACTGAACATAGATAGCTTATGTACGCAAAATCACCAAGAATTGTACAGTCCGCGAACTCATACTTCTAGGGGTCAAAGTGTACTTCAATGATAAGCGGGGTGGTTTGGTGTTTTAATGGATTTCATAATAGAGTGTAAAATAACTCCGGGAATGTAACTATTTGAACAACAATATTTCACTGAGCAATATATCATATTGACGAGAACTGAAGAAGGACATGAGAAGGACTAAGCTAACTTAAATTTCTCTCTACTGAACTCATGTACACCACAAGTACTCAATGACATAAGAACAGCCAATGTTCACAACCGACCTAGATAATCAATATAATAGGAATATCTTTAAAATATCTCTGTACATTTATATCTTTCAAGATGAAAAATGTCGTCTTATGCGCAATCTAATGGCACTACCCTCAGTGCATAGGATTAGTTTTGAATATCAAAACGATTAAAACAACATGTAGAAAAGACAATTTTTCGTAAGTTGAAATTACCTACCCGACATTGAAAAGCGTTTAGGTTGAATAATTCAGTAATGCAATCGAAATACTTTTTTTTCCCCAAAAATTCAACGATCCATATTTATTTTATCATAATTATTAGCAGACAACCCATCATTCAATGAAATACAGGCATATGACACCAAAGGTGAAAAAAATCAAAAATCGATCACCCTTAACGTACGATAATGTAGAATCAATATCGCAGAGATCATTTTAGCTAAACCCTTAGGAACCGGTACTGGCTGTAAAAAAGTTTTACAATATAAATACAAAAATAATATTAATTTCACATCTGAAAATCCCAATTTTATAAGAAAAATTATTTAGACATAAAGAAATATCACCTATGTATATTGGTCTCTAAACAGGCACTCACAACTTGAAGAACTTGTTTTCTGTATTCTGAAGAGGGAGCCCTGGAGTAGGAATTCAAAAAATCTAAAAATAAAGTTATTCAAAATCAACTCATTAAAAGGAACAGTGGACGTTATCTTATCTAAGTAGCAATACAGAAGATATCGTCGTTATTTTGTCATAAATAGTGTTAGTAAAATTCTGACAACTTCCTTCATTGTTTATGCATTAAGAATGCACAAGCCACTTTTACAGAGAATCCTTCTTTAAGAATAATCAATTTTCGACAAAACAAACATTGATTTCTCTATCATTCTTGATTAAACAAAGATTTAGATTGTGTGAAATTGTGAATCAGACATGCCAATCGGTCATTTAAGTCACATTTGCATTTTATCTATGTCAGACTTGCATTATAGCAAAAATGATTTTTGGGTTATTAACTTCAGACAAAAAACAAATCTAGCAGATTATACAAAAAAAACATAAAAAATTTGTTTTAAAAGTAATATTATAAAAGATATGCAGTAAGATAATGGATTATTTTGGTTCAACATTTTTTCTAAAGTTATGGATAAAGATAAAATAGAAAATAATTTTAAATTCAATTTAATTCGTTGATGTGGTTTACCTAGTGCAGTTTTAGCGGAGGTGTTAATATTCTTTAGTTTAGTAGAATTATTTGTATCCTTCTCTATATTGGATAAAAGTGGTTCCATTCTACATCTAGATTCTAATACCTACAGGATATCATCTGAAATAGAAGATTACTCATTTAATTCAGAATATAGATACAGAGCTCAAAAAAATAGTTCTCCCTCTGCAATTAGGCTATCTGCAGAAAACATCCAAAAATTATATTCATTTTTTTTTTAAATTAGCCGAAGTATGATTAAAGGATGGACGAGGAATGGACGATCAAGAAGAAAGAAAGAATGAAAAACAAGAAATATAGAAGTCTCAAAATGTTTCCATCTGATATCATATTGAAATTCAAAAATATTGTAAAATTTGTTTAAAATAAGTTATTAAAGTCAAAAACTCATTTTATTCAGTCTTTTATATCTGTTTGAAGAAAATATGAAAAAATAGAAACCATTTCAAGAATTGCGAACATTTTGCTTTCTTATATTATTAGAAAAATTCATAAAATTTGTCATATTCAACACAATCTTTTCCAGCAAATTATAACAAAATATTATTGGTTATTCAACTTTATGACTATAACAATTTCTAAGGTTGCTTCATGTTGTTTTATGGATGTTTGTAAACTTTGACTTCATGCAATAAAATCAATATTCAAAAGTGATGGACAACAGGGAGACATTTTTTCAATCTTTGATAGCTTTTCAATGACAAAGTACGAAACAAAAAAAGTTCAGAAGCGCAACTAGGGTCTATGGGGTGGGGGGTAACCAGATGTCCTTTCCCTCTTTCAATATATCCCCCCCCCCCCCATTTTAGGACTGTAGACAATCTTTTATCAAATTTTGCAAATTGAAAATAAAAATAACAAAAGTTTTCTTTGGCGCCTTGCGTTCAATCTTAAAGCAATTTTCTTCTTTAACACTTTTCTCAGTTTTGTTTTAACAACCATCCTTGAAAAATCATTATTTTATGTCAAAAGAAATGTCTTTGTCTATATTCAAGAAAATGTCATGTTTATTGTTACACGCTGTATGTTAGACATATTGAACCATTTCGCGATTTTGGAGGATTTCCATCTCACTAGCTGGGGCTATCCTCCAAATCTAAAAAAACGTTCTTAAAAACTGTAGAACACTCAATTTTTTTTACTTTTTCAAATTCTAAGATGTGAACACATTTTATTAAACAAATTTTGTTTGTGCATAAGCTAGGGGGGAAGACTGTTAAATGGCTACTCGGTGTTTCCAAAATAATAGTCCATATAATTTTTAAATAATAATCAAATTTACTTATTTGAAAGATATATACCATTAGCATTAAAAAGTTGGGATTTTTACATGCCTTGACTCTACAGCCTTTTTCTGTGAGATGGGGGGGGGCTAAGCAAAAGGAAAGCCCCCCCCCCCCCGTCTTTTTAGGGTTAATTTTAATTCGATCTTGGCAACCATTGCCCCAGAAAAATGACTGCAAATAAATTGTAATTTTTTAACCTTTTTACTTAGATATCTTTAACATCTGTTACTTGTATAATATTCTGGACAAGAATAATTGCATACATACAAGTGTACTGAACATATTTACTTCAATATTAAGATATCATTTCATTTTTTGAATGTACATTATCTTAAATCGATATTAGTTGAGATTAGATATGAACAGTTATAACTCATAATTAATGAACTTGAAAATACATGGAGACAGCTAAGAGCAAAGTTATAGCCTAAGGGTCATACAGATCGACAATTCCTGCGCAAATAACAACGATAGCATTTTTTCGTCTGATTTTTCATATTTTTTATAAAAAATTAGGAGGTTCTATCAATTATATTAATAATTTTGCCAAATGGCTAAAATTTGTGATGAATATAAGAAAATAATAGTTTGAGGTTGTATAAATAGAGGTTTCATTTATCCAAAAAAAAACTATTTTATGTAAGAAAATGTATAAAAACATCTATTTTACACCTGTAACGTGTATTCTTTGAGTTATAATGTAACATATGTAACATACATTTCCAGACAGAATTAATGCAGTTTTAGTTTTTTCTTAACTTTTGTAATTTCAGGATTCTACTTCTGCTATTTATGATATCTTTTTGTTTTGTGAAGTAATGATAAGTAAAGTTTGTTTTTATCTAACAGATGTCTTGCTGTTGGTTTCCACTATAGCAGACTGATTCTGTGGATCGATACTGTTCTAGGAAAGCCGCCACTTGTTGAGCACTGTGTAATGTCGTCTTTCTTAATTTCTGCGCCAAATGTCGTAATCCAAATATTGCGTTTTTAACCCACTAGCGGCTGCGGTGACTTATACGTCCCCTATAAATTATTTTACATAAAACTCATCTATTTTCCTCAATTTTGAGTTTATCTCCGCGGGAGTCATTTTATGATACAGTAAACAATATGGGACACACATGTGTACAGTTAAACGGTTCTACCTACTCATCTTCCAAATTATTTAACCGTGTAAAGTTGAGGTGTGAACAATTAAACTAAATTTATGGAAAACAAAAAACAGCAGCCTTTAAGGTATGGTAAATTTTTTTAGTAGAAAACTATTTTAAAATGTTTTAAAAAAGTTTTTCAATTTATTATTAATTATTCTTTGAAATTATTTTTTGAAAAAAATTTTTCTGTCATTATTTTAGAAATAAGAACTACATTTTTCCATACATAAATAAATTGNCCATTATAGTGGAGCCCAATAAAACTAACACTAATACTAAAACTAAAACGACTCAACTAATTTTTTTTTGTATTTCTTCTGTTTTGTATTGATTCTGTTTTATATTTCTTCTGTTTTGTATTGATTCTGTTTTGTATTGATTCTGTTTTGTATTTCTTCTGTTTTGTATTGATTCTGTTTTGTATTTCTTCTGTTTTGTATTGATTCTGGTTACACTGTACAATAGGTGTTATGTTCGTTGGTCTGTTTAAAATTAAAACTTGGGTATACAAGTCGTCTTCCTATTCCACAGTTTTCTGGATCTGACTGTATAGATAAAATAAACTGTATACTGTAGAAGTATAGATTTGCAGAATAAATGTAAATAATAGTTCCTATGGCCATTTATATAACATTTTAGTTAATTAATTTTGCCTTTCTCATAAATTTAGGAAAAATTCTGTATACCCGCCCTGCAGCAACTGTGGTGACTTATAAGGTCACTCTTAAAATCCCTAAACAAACACCTTTCAAATTTTTTTTTGCATTTTTTACTTTTTTTCCTTGATCTAACCAATAATAAGTATTCTTAATCAAATTTTCAAAGAAAAATCTTTAAAAAAATTCTTCAGCCGCTAGTGGGTTAAGGGAATAATATAATTTATAGACACAACCCTTAAACAAATTGATTACTTTAACACTAAAAGAATTTTTAAATCAAACTTTTTTACAATGATGAAAACATAAAATTATCTTTAATTAAACAAGATTAATATGCAGTAGAATGTAATTTTTAACAATAATTAGAGAATATTAAAAGTATGAAAAAAAACCACATTTGTAAATTTTAGGGCTAGGATGTTATATTTTATTTCTCTTAAACTTAGGTTCGAGAAAAACATTTTCCTACTCGCTTGTCAAGTCAAAAATGGAACACCCTGTTTACTCACTCTAAGATATGTCAAATTTTCATCTATCAATATTTGTTGGAGCACAGGAGCCAATCCAACTTATAGTAGCATAGCATCATTCTTTAAATGCTTATGAACAATAATTTTCATACAATATACATGATGTAACGTGTACAATTCAACAACAATTTTTGCATAATAAGCTCTGAAATTAAATGGGTTGTTAAGAAGCGTTTACAGAGGTTTTCTATCAATGATCAGCCCCCCCCCCTCTTTAAAGTTTGCTGCGCTCAACCCCTGGAGAAAAAAATAATCCATACCTTGACCAAATCCGTATACGCCCCTTGTGAAGTTGGGCTATGCTTGTAAATCATTTTCCCATTCGTTAAACGAACCTGTGAACATCTATTCCCTGTTTTTTATATTGTATTTTGATTTATTTTTTTAGCTTGTTTTGTAATCACAATTCTGACTGAATGCTCATTAATAATATCTGATTAATATCCTTATCATCTAACTCAACGACTATAATCTAATATCAGAATCAGTGGCTGAAGGGGGGAAGGTTGCAATACACCCCCCCCCCCTTGAAAAATTAGTCATCAATAGAGGGGCACATCTTCAATAAAATGTGGAACTAACATCTACTTTTTTTTTCTCTACAAAAGTTTGGTCCATCACCATATTTGAATTTTAATTCAATTTGAAAGTATTTAAATTATTTAATCAGATTGGACATGGTTATCGCACATATCCTAACACATATTTTCCCGCTATATTCATTTCTGAGAATTAATATGTACTTTACTAATTACGGAATGGTTTCGTATTATGTAATTTTGTACGCCTTAATTACGCGAAACTAGTCTTTCTTCTGTATACCTAATTAGCACGTAAATTCGCGTAATACTTCTCCGTAAGTGAAATAAAGTGTTTCGCGTAATTACACATAATTACGTGTAACGTAATTACTACTGGAAACCCTAGTTATTTATCATGTATTTACAACAAGAAGTAATAAATGTACTTCTAAAGTGGTGACCCCAAACAACAAACAAACCATGGCCGAAAACACAGCCTCCTGGCCAGAAACAGCTCAATAACTGAACGAGGATAACAATCTCTAACTTTAGCTTCTTATCCACAAATTCACTATTCCTTTATCCTACAATCAGCTACTCCTGGAGCTAATGAATAAAACCTTAGCTATATACTCCAGGAGCTAATAAACTAAACCTCAGCTACTTCTAGAGCTAATAAGCTAAACCTTAGTTACTCCTGGAGTGATAAGCTGAACCTCAGCTACTCCTAGAGTTAATAAGCTACTCCTGTAGATAATAAGCTAAACCTCAGCTACTCCTGGAGCTAATATGCTAAACTTCAACCCTCTAGAAGCTAATCAGCTACTTTGCTCCCGTGTAAACCCCAAGTCACCCTCTTCCGCCTAAAAGTTAACTTTTATCATGCGGAATTAGTAGACTATAAGTACATGAATCTATAGTAGTGTTTCTGACTTTTTGGGCCTCGAAAACCAACAATCTAGC